TTCCTGTCGCCCCAGGGGTTCTTTAAGAGACTTAAAACTAAAATAAGAGTTGCACCCATTGTTACCATACTCTAAAGAACTGTTGTTAAAGTGACAGTCCTGATCACTGCAATTTAGTATGGTACTACATATGTCCCTCTTTGGGACTCCTTTTTTCTCAGCCATAATGCCTTTTGTTCTTTCTTCCATTCTATACCTCGCCAATAAGCTGAGTTGCAGGAAAACATGAACACTCAGAAAGCCCTGGGCTGACTGTAAAATCGGCCGTGAAGTGTAGGACTCTCATTAATCCATGGATTGATTCAACGAGTGTTCACAGAGCGCCCTCTGGGGGCCACACGCTGGATGGATAAAGGTAAAAAGTCCATGCTCCCACCCCAGACAGTTCCCAGAAGCTTATGGGAACTGTCTGGGTAGGAGCATGGATTTCCCTGCACTGCCCTCTGGGCCCCAGCGCGGGAGCTCCAGTTTGAAGGCTGGGCCAGGGCTCCTGCGCGGGCCACCCCTCTCTGCCGGGCTCACATGTCACCACTCCCACCTGATGGTTCTGCAGGGTCCTGCAGCTGGAGCTTTCCAATACCTGCCTGGCTCTGGGCTCTGTCTGGGCTCTGGGCTCTGGGGTGGGAGGCCCTGGTGCCCGGCGGTGCTCCGGGCGGAGCCTGCACCTGTCAGCCCCTTCTGGCCAACTGGGGAACACGCAGGGCATCCTGGGAACGTTCAGTTCTTTGTGTTTCTACAGCCAACAGCCTCCTGTGACTGGTAGCACTGTGTATCTTTGTTTCTTTAAACATTTTTTAAAACTCATTTATTCTTTAGAGAAAGAAACATCGATTTGTTGTTCTACTTATTTATGCATTCTTTGGTTGATTCTTGCATGTGCCCTGACGGGATAGAACCCAAACCTTTTTGGAATATGGGAAGCCACACCAACTAACTGAGCTCCAACCAATTGAGCCACCTGACTAGGTCTGATCTATTTTCTTCTTTTTTAATTTTAAAAATATATTTTATTATTATTATTATTATTATTATTATTATTATTATTTTTACAAAGAGGAAGGAATAGAGTAAGAAACATCAATGGGAGAGAAACATTGATCAGCTGCCTCCTGCACACCTCCTACTGGGGATGTGTCCGCAACCAAGGTGCATGCCCTTGACCGGAATCAAACCTGGGGCCGGAATCAAACTCCAGGCCGATGCTCTGTCCACTGGGCCAAACCAGGTAGGGATTCTTCTTTTTTTAAATCCTCACCTAAGGATATGGTTTTTTTGTTTTGTTTGTTTTTGAGAGAGAAAACATCAATGTGAGAAACAATTGCCTCTTCTATGTGCCCCACCTGGGGATCAAACCTACATCCTAAGTATGTGCCCTGACCAGGAATAGAATTGTGACCTTACAATTCTATTAAACCAACTAAGCTTCACCAGCCACGGCAGTTCCTATTTTGAATGGAGACAATGACCAGCCTTTGTGAACAGGGTCTTTTTTCTTATTTCTGATTCTGTTGGGTGTTCTATAAAATCAATAGATAATCAATAATATAATACATTCCATAATTTTTTGCTGATTCTGTTGGGTATTCTATAATATCAATAGATAATAATATAGCACATTCCATAATTTTTAAATATCTTTTTATTGATTTCAGACAAGAAAGGAAGGAGAAATAGAAACATCAATGATGGGAGAGAATCATTGATCAGCTGCCTCCTACACATCGCACATGATCAAGCCCACAACCTGGGAATGTGCCCTGATTGAAAATTGAACTATGACCTAATTCATAGGTTGACACTCAACCACTGAGCCATGCTGGTCGGGCTCCATAATTTTATTGGGATCTTCCCCCCTCCCCCATTATGTCCCTTTAATGTGATCTTCACTATTGGGCTCTTCAGATTTATTACTTTGAAGGACAAGCATGTCAAACTCATGGCCCACAGGCCCGCATGCCTCATTTATTTGGCCTGTGCTAGCCTTTTGAGTTTGACATGCTTGTAGGAGATAGGCTTCTTTGGGCTGGAGGTGATGGGGTTCTTGTAGGCATCCTTACTTATTCTTGAAGGACTGGGATTGCACCAGCATATCTCAGCACTGATTTTCCTTTGAGGAATTGGGGTAGAACAGGAAGGGGAGTTTTACAAACCTGTGCTTATGCCCCCTGTTTCCCAGAAGTCCCTCTATTCTTTAAACATTGCTCTGGCTTCTTTTTCATTGTCAGTGTGGGCAACCTGGGGCACTTGGGTTTAGTTGGGACTTAGCATTTTCCTCAACTTCCCCCAAAACATGCCATTTCTAACAAAATTCAAACACTGTGGATCTCTTACCATCTCTGAGATCCTTCACTTATGACAGTCTGCGAGAACACCAGCCTAGAGTCCCTGGCATGCAGTTTCCTTCAAAACCACTACCTGGTTCAGTCAGTCTCTTCCTCCAGGTCCTCACACTGCAGTGCTCCTCTGGAGCAGGCCTTTCCCCTTCTTAGCTCTGCTGAGCCTATCTCTATGCTTTGTGAGGTTCGCAATGCTGTGAACACAACAGACATCAGTGCATCTCTGAGTGATCAGAAACCTGCCTAAATGACACAACCTCTTAATATTATCAATCACCCTTGTTAGTGTCCTATCACTTAAGGAGACATTGGGTGCTCTAAAACTATTCAAGTTTAATCTGACTTAAAGGTCTTTTTTCTTTGTTCTCTAAAACCCCAGACCTTATTTCCTGGGATTCTCCCTCTTCTGAACAGACTAAGGGCTATTTTGTTGGAACTAGGACTATTCTTTAGTAATGTTTTTAAAAATGAGTCCTGTGGGAGATTCATTGATCACAGTGTTTTGGGGGGGGGGAAGGATCCCAAGGCCAAGTATATTCAGAATATGATCACAATATGTCTTCCCCTTGTGTGTGTGGGAAGAAGGGTGAGGGAATTGTTCAACTTTATTCAAACTAATTGGCCATGTCACTTTTTTTTTTTTTTTTTTTTTAATAAGAGTCTCTTTGGAGCTAGTGTTCCACAGAAAATAATCTGGGACATTGTTTCATAGTAATATCTATTACAGTTTACGGACAATCTCATTTTCTATCAGCCTTCAGAATTACAAGTCAGCCATTCTGTTACATGAAATATGAACCCTCTAAAAGCCAGGAATTCTTCGTGTGAAATAAAACTCTTTCCCTGAAGTGTAAACATTCTTCATGCACATAGAACCCTCACTTAATGTACCAAAAGCGGTATTTTTCTGGACTTCTACTTGTATTGTGTTTACTGTTACTTGCTTGAAAACTCTCCACACTAAGCTATTGCTGCCTGTTATTTTTATCTCAACTTGGAACTTAGTCATCTGCTAAATGGGGTGAATGGGAATCCCATTTACTCTCTCAGCTTCAAATGGCATCTTTGTTCTGGAACTCCCGAATCGACATCTTTCCGAATCTCTTAGCTAAATTCTAGTCCCATACATTTTAGCACCTGCAGTTTTATATTTCTTCAACTCAGATTAGCCAAATCTTGCTGAAATTAGCAGCTTTTCTTAGGGGAACTATGCACAATCACTGTGGAACTGCTGTGAAATTTAAGCACTCTGTCTCAAACTATTCAGAAAACTTGTTTTATTACTATCAGTTTCCAAACAAGTCAATCTAACCAAGTCTAATGTCTGCATCAAAACTCAATGGATTGAAACACCCAGTTTAGGATCATACTATGAAAAAAGAAAAGGGGAATTGACATGTACTAGATGGATTTCCTGTCTAAATTCAGCTGGAATTTCAAAGCTAGCTAAGCATTTTGGGGAAAATTGCCACATAAGATGGTAGGAAAAACAAATGTCTCTTTTCATCAATGCATAGAAAATATAATTGGTGATTTAAGAAAGAAAATTCTTGAGTGGGATTATCACAAAGAAGAGACTGAAGAATTTATGAGAAAAATATGAGGCTTGAGTCTATATTCTTCAACAAGCCCGAAGGGATTTACTTATCAAACAAATTTCTGATAATCAAATACTGCTTCAAGAACTGGGTCCTGGAGCCGGGATCGTGATGGCGTTCGATAACATTCTTCAGAATATGGTATCAATGACACGAGGAACGTAAAGAAAGCCATGGAATATCTGAAAACATCCTGGATCAATCTCAAAGCATTGCTGACAGACAGAATTCCTTGGAGGCTCAACTGAGGGGCAGGGCGGGTCTCTCGCATGGACCTGGAGGATTTCCTAAAGTGGCTACAAGAAGCAGAAACCTAAGTGTCTCAGCGGGAGCATACTCTTGACAAAAATCTTCTGAGGAGGCTAGTGAACTGTTTGAAGAAAATAGAGCCAAACTACATTTATTAAGACCTGTTACCTCTGTGATACTTTACTACTGTATCTTAATATTGAGTGGCACTTTAGCCTTATGGAAATTTTGGTAAATTTAAAAGAAGTTTAGAATAATCTTTCAGAGGTTACTTAAAAACTGTGCTTCTCTTTATAGCTAATTGTTGTTGTTTTTCCAATTTGAAAAATTAAAGCACATCTTCAAAACTAAAAGAAAAAAAAAGAAAAAGAAAGAAAATTCTTAGTGGTTTCTTATATTCCTAACTTGTATTACATTCTTTTTTTTTTTATATATATTTTATTGATTTTTGTACAGAGAGGAAGGGAGAGAGATAGAGAGTTAGAAACATCAATGAGAGAGGGTCATCGAGCAGCTGCCTCTTGCACAGCCCCTACTAGGGATGTGCCCCTTGACCGGAATCGAACCCGAGGCCCTTCAGTCCCCAAGCCGACGCTCTATCCATTGGGCCAAACCGGTCCCGGCACATTCTTACATTCTTGCTCAAAAAAAGGGCAAGTTCCTCAAACCTGTGCCTGGAGGTGACAAGAGCTTCCCCCTGAGCGGCCTGCTGGAGGCCCACCGGCGTGAGCAGCGGTGGGTTCGGCTATGGTTGCTGTGGATCCCCGGGCACCATGAACCCGATGGATGACTGCTTAGCTAGCTGGCTGCCACTGTCTCAGCTCCAGTCGGCCTCGATCATTGCAAACAGCTGGCTGAGCCGTTTCTGAATGTCAGGCCCACTTGGAGCACGACAGGATTTTGTGTGCACTCGGATGTGCTCGGCAAGTTTGGACTTATAAATGAAGCCCTTCCCACAGTCGCCACAGGCAAACGGCCTTTCTGGCCTATGGATGCGCTGGTGCCTAAGCATGTGTCCCTTTTCCCGGAAGGTCTTGTCACACTCGGGGCAGCGGAAAGGTCTCTCCCCTGTGTGCAGGCCTTGGTGGCTGAGCAGCTGTGCCTTCAAGCGGAAACTCTTGTCGCATTTCGGACACCGAAAAGGCTTCTCCCCCGTGTGCGTCCTGATGTGCTCGACGAGTTTTGACTGCTTGGCAAAGCCTTTGCCGCACTCGCAGGAGAACGGCATCCGCCCGCTGTGCAGCAGCTGGTGGGCCTTCATGTCGGCCTTCACACGGTAGCTCTTGTCACACTGCGGGCACTGGAAGGGCCTCTCCCCGGTGTGCAGGCGCCGGTGGCTCAGCAGCTGCCCCTTGAGGCGGAAGCTGCGGTCGCAGTCGGGGCACTGGAAGGGCCGCTCCCCGCTGTGCACGCGCAGGTGCTCGGTGAGCTTGGACTGCCTGGTGAAGCCCTTGCCGCACTCGGCGCAGGAGAACGGCCTCTCGGTGCTGTGGGTGCGCTGGTGGGCCTTCAGGATGCCCTTCAGGCGGAAGCTCTTGCCGCACTCGGGGCACCGGAAGGGCCTCTCCCCGCTGTGCACGCGCAGGTGCTCCCGGAGCTTGCACTGGTGGGTGAAGCCGCGGCCGCACTCGGTGCAGGAGAACGGCCTCTCCCCGCCGTGTCGGAGCCGGTGGGCTCTCAACATGCTCTTCAGACGGAAGCTCAGCTCACACTCGGGGCACTGGAAGGGCTTCTCGTCCGCGTGCAGCCGCTGGTGCCTCAGCAGCTGTCCCCTCTGGCGGAAGTGCCGGCCGCACTCGGCACACCAGAAAGGCTTCTCCCCGCTGTGCACGCGGGCGTGCTCGGCGAGTTTGCACCGTTTGCTGAACCCCTTGCCACACTTCCTGCAGGAGAAGGGTCTCTCTCCTCTGTGCACACGCTGGTGGACCTTCAGCAGGCCGCCCCGGCGGAAGCTCTTGCCACACTCCAGGCACGGGAAGGGCTTTTCCCCCTGGTGCACCCTGCCGTGGCTGGTGAGCGTGGCCCTGGTAGAGAAGCACTTGTCACATGCCGTGCAATAGAACGGCCTCTCTCTGGCAGGGCAGCGCTGGAGGACCAGCTCCATACCCCCCGTCAAGCGGCAGGGCTCCTCAGGAGGCGGGCCTGGGCCTGGGTCTGGGCCTGGCCTTGGCCCCGTGTGCACACCGCTGAGCCCGGCCTCACAGGAGGCCCTGCCGCCTTCTCTCCGGACGACTGGCCTCTCCCCGCTGTGCTGGCCCTGGTGAGCCTGTATGCCGGCCTTTGGGAGAAAGCTCGTGTCACATCTGGGGCACTGGGAAGGGTCCTCCCCCTGGTGCAGAAGGTGGTGGCTGAAAAGGGTCCACTTGTGATGATGGAAGCATGCATTACTTTCAGGGCACTGCAGTGGGCTCTTCCCTGTGTGTGTGGCCAGATGTTTAAGTAAATTCCGCTTTAGGCAGAAGCTCCTCCCACATTCATGACACCGGAAGTGCCTCTGTCCCCGAGGGATGCTCCACTGCTGCTGCAGGTCGGCTTGTTTACTGAATCTCTTCCAGGCCCCACGCGCCTGGTCCTTCGAGTGGTTCCCCTGGGGCTTCTCATGATTCTTCTCCCAAAAGCTTTCCCCACAGACAGGGCAGGGATGTGGGGTGCCCTCCCGGGAGGGTACCTCCTGGAGGCCTGGGGGACCCAGGGTTCTGGGGTTTGGGGTTCTTTCTCTGTGGGTGGGTTCCCAGGAATGGTGGGCTGCTGGGAGGAGAGCCCGTGGATCCTGTGTGTCTGGCTTCACGAAGGGGATGCCTCGGTCCGGCCTGAAGGAAACATCTCCACTTATTCTTAGTAAGTATTCAGAGGAATCCTGGCCCTCAAGAGGATCGGCCTGAAAATGGTATTCAGATTCTCTTGAATTCACAGCTTGCTGGCTTCCTGAAATTGAAAACAAAAATTCAGTCAGAATTCATGATCAAAGGCTCGGTCACTAGGAAAGTGAACCATAACAGTGACCTCTGGTGGCCCGGAACCCAATTTCCACGGAACTGCACACAGGCCACATTTCAGTTTGGTTCTGTTTCATGGCCAGGAGTTTGGTGAGTCTGCTCAAAGTAAACAGAACAGACTTACTCAGAATTTACTGAAAAGAGGAAAATACAGGTCACAATGTAGGGCCTAAGCTCTGAATCCAGAATGCCTGGGTTTGACTCTTATGTGTCCATTGCAACTTTTCTCAAGCTACTTTGGCTTCAGATCCTTCTCCTGTAGAAACAGGGAACAATGAGCCTGCTATGAGAATGAGAGGAGCTAATGTGTGCCGAGTGCCCTGCGTGAGCCTGGCGGACTGCAACGTCCTATCAACATTCACCACGGTCAAGTCTGCAGGAACATCAGACTTGCCCCATTCTGACGTGCACATTCCTGGAGTCAGGAAGGAAACCGGCACTGACAGCCCTGACTGACATGTGGCTCTGTGTGAACCACAAGCTGCCCCTAAGCCAGGCCAGCAAGGCCTAGTGTCTGCTCCTTCCTTTTCTAACTTCCTTCTATTCCTTCTAACTCCTCCCCCCCCCGCACCTTCTTGTCTTTTCTTTCTTCTTCTCTTTTCCCTTCTAACTTTTTAAAAATGTTTCTTGAAAGAAAAGCAAGTGGCAAAAATAATTTGTGTAGAAAAACTTTTATTCTCCAGAAAGCAGCTAAAAGCTAAACAAATTACTGACAAGATTTCTTGGAATGATGCCCACATTTGACTTCCTCATTCCATACCTAACACTGACTCTGAGGAGTCTACAAGTCCCAGACTCTCCATCAGGACAGGAAATAAGAGGAGAGCTAAGGTTTAGCCAGAGACTACAGTCTCTAGACGGGAAGAAGCTATTTCCCTCCACCCCTACTCAGAATAGATCACACTTACTGAGCTCTTACTATGTGCCAACTATCATTTTAACACTTTAGCCCTATAATGTATGTACTTTTATTACATTCATGTTATAGTTAGGAAATGAAATACTGAGAGGTTGAATAACCTGCCCAAGGTCACTCAGAAAAGGCAAGATCCAGACTCAGGCTCCAGAACCCAGATGCCAGGCCTTACCCCAGCCAAACAGAAAAGAATCAGATAATTAGAAGTAAGAAACCTGAATGTGACCATCGTAAGGACAGGGCCCTGATTTCTTTATACTTACTCCAAAATGGCTGCCCCTCAATAACTGGATCGAAATGCAAATCAGCAGGGTTGAAAACTGTGTTTCCTGACTTCTGTGGTTCTCCTAAATTCCTAAAGAGCTCTCTCCCCTGTTCAATCCGGGATATCAGCTCCGGTTTGGGAAGTCCACCATCTGTACAGAGAAGTCAAATGGGAGTTTGGTTTCCTCGAGTGTGAAATTTAAAGCACACTGAATTTATTTTTAAATTTCTTAAAATTTACTCTGGACAATGTAGGAGAAGAGATTTCAAAAAATAAGCTGGTGATGCTAAGTGGTTAGAGCGTCGGCCCATGCACCAAAGGGTCTCTGGTTGATCCCCAGCCCAGTCAGGGCACATGCAGGAGGTAACCAATCCATGTGTCTCTCTCCTCCCTTCCATTCTCTCTTAAAATTGATGGAAAAAATATCCTTGGATGAGGATTAACAGCAACAACAAAAAATAATTTACACAAAGAAGAACAAAACTTCCCACACATAGCATGAGATAAGCTATCTTTTGTCTTTGCCCCCATATATCCAGCAATGCTGTGTTTTGTCATGGATTTCATAAAATACACTACGGTAGTAGTATGCTCTGAAAATGGTGGGACACTGGAGACCCCCGGGTACCTGGGAGGTATACAAAAATAAGAACTGAAATGGTTGTCCCTGGAAATTTCAAGGTAGGTGGCTCCAGCAAAAATTCTCTCAGAATTTTCCAGTGACAGTGCTGACGACAACCTAAACCATGGCTGAGTTCTGCGAGAATAGAGTGGGCTGCGATGAATAAAATGAATGAAATAAAAGATACAAGATTCTTTCCGAAAGCGGTTTGGCTCAGTGGACAGAGCGTCAGCCTGCGGACTGAAAGGTCCCAGGTTCGATTCCGGTCAAGGGCATGTACCTGAGTTGCAGGCACATCCCCATTAGGAGGTGTGCAGGAGGCAGCTGATTGATGTTTCTCTCATTGATGTTTCTAACACTCTATCCCTCTCCCTTCCTCTGTAACAAATCAATATCTTAAAAAAATAAATCTGTGCCGAAACCTGTTTGGCTCAATGGATAGAGCGTCGGCTTGGGGACTGAAAGGTCCCGGGTTCGATTCTGGTCAAGGGCATGTACCTTGATTGCGGGCATATCCCCGTTGGGGGTGTGTGCAAGAGGCAGCTGATCGATGACTCTCTCTCATTGATGTTTCCAACTCTCTATCTCTCTCCCTTCCTCTCTGTACAAAATCAATAAAATATATTTATAAAAAAAATAAATAAATCTGTGATGAAAGGAGACAGAAAATTGACAGCATAAGTGGCTAATGCCTCTTTTTTTTCATAGTAATGAGTTCATTAATGCTGCTTAAACATGATAAATCAAAAAAGAGGGGTAAGCCTGAGTTATACAGATAGAAGAAAACCACAGTAGGAACTAAAATAGAAATGGTTAGCCCTAGCTGGTAGCTCAGTTGGTTAGAGCATTGTCCTGACACACGAAGGTTGTGGGTTCAATTCCTGGTCAGGGCACATATGAGAATCAACCAATGTATGCATAAATAAATGGAACAACAAATCAATCTCTCTTTTTCTCATCAATTTAAAAAAGAAATGGTTAAAAGTAGTTGCCTTTCCAACATCAACAAATCAACAAACGACAAGTGTTGGCGAGGTTGTGGAGAAAAAGGAACCCTCGTGCACTGCTGGTGGGAATGCAGATTGGTGCAACCACTGTGGAGAACAGTGTGGAGTTTCCTCAAAAAACTGAAAATGGAACTCCCATTTGACCCAGTAATCCCACTTCTAGGAATATATCCCAAGAAACTAGAAACAGCAATCAGAAAGGATATATGCACCCCTATGTTCATAGCAGCACAATCTACAATAGCCAGAATTTGGAAACAGCCTAGGTGCCCGTCAGCAGATGATTGGATCAAAAAACTATGGTACATTTACACAATGGAATACTATGCTGCCATAAAAAAGAAGGAATTCTCATCATTTGCAGCAACCTGGATGGAATTGGAGAGCATCATGCTGAGTGAAATAAGCCAATCAATGAAAGAGAAACACCACATGACCTCACTCATTTATGGATAATAAAGAACATTATAAACTGATGAACCAAAAGATAGATATAGAGACAGTAAAGCAACAAGCAGACTGTCAAATTACAGTGGGGAGGGGAGGGAGATCTAGGGGAGATAACTGATCAACCGAAGGACTTGTATACATGCATATAAGTACAACCAATGGACATAAAACTCTGGAAAGAGAGGGTATGTACGAGAGGGAGGGAGGGAGGCAAAAAAAAAAAAATCAAAAAAATCAATCAATAAATAAATTAAAAAAAAAAAAAAAAAGAGTATGTAGGTGGGTTGCAGGCTCCTCCCCAGCTCAGGCCCTAGTGGGGGCATGTGCTGGAGGCAACCAATTGATGTGTTTCTCTCACATCGATGTTTCTCTCTGTCGCTCCCTCTCTCTTCCAATCTCCCTAAAAATCAATGGAAGAAATATCCTTAGGTGAGGATTAATAACAACTAAAAAAGAATTAAAAATAAATAAAAACAATTTTTAAAAAATATATTTTATTGATTTTGTACAGAGAGGAAGGGAGAGAGAGTTAGAAACATCGATGAGAGAGAGTCATCGACCAGCTGCCTCTTGCACACCCCCTACCGGGGATATGCCCGCAACCAAGGTACATGCCCTTGACCGGAATCGAACCCGGGTCCTCCAGTCCCCAAGCCGATGCTCTATCCATTGAGCCAAACCGGTTTCGGCAATAAAAACAATTTTTAAAGAGAAAAAAAAAATTGGTTGCCTTTAGCCAAAACCGGTTTGGCTCAGTGGATAGAGCGTCAGCCTGTGGACTCAAGGGTCCCAAGTTCGATTCTGGTCAAGGGCATGTACCTTGGTTGCAGCTGATCGATGATTCTCTCTCATCAATGTTTCTGACTCTCTATCCCTCTCTCTTCCTCTCTGTAAAAAATCAATAAAAAAATATATATTTTTTAAAAAGTGGTTGCCTTTAGGGAATTAACGGAGGGAGTGAAAATGAAGTGATTTTATCATTTGATGCTTTTAAAAAATATATATTTTATTGATTTTTTACAGAGAGGAAGAGAGATAGAGAGCTAGAAATGTCGATGAGAGAGAAACATCAACCAGCTGCCTCTTACACACCCCCTACCGGGGATGTGCCCGCAACCAACGTACAGGCCCCTGACCGAAATCAAACCTGGGACCTTTCAGTCCGCAGACCGACGCTCTACCACTGAGCCAAACGGGTTCCGGCATCTTTTGATGCTTTTCTGAAAGACCTGAATTTTTAATAAATGTATTTGATAATAAAAAGAAATATAAAGACCAAGTAAGCAGTAAGACTAAAAAGAACATCCATTTAATCCTAGAGAGCTGCTGTTCAACATGCCCGTGGACAGCCTTGTCAAATCTTGTTGCAAGAGAAAGTAATATTGGCGTGTTCAAGGCATATGGACACCCCTAGAAAAAGTGACAGACCAGAAGACCCAGGATAAAATATCTGGGTACTTTATGAATATGAGCTAGGCATGTGCCTATGTGAAAAATCCTGGAACCTGAAAGTATGCAGTGACTAAATGCCCTGAAATATACTTAGTCACTCCTTACATTCCATGCAGTGTCAAATATTCTCATGTAACGTTGTCTACCCTTGAGTAAGGATCAGCAATGCTGACAGGTATTGATAGAAGAATATGGGGTAAAAGTGGTTTTCTGAGTTACTTTCTGAGAAATCTGGCTACTGGGCCAATAGGAACATCATACAGTACCCAATTTCGTGATTTACCCACAAAAAAAAGTTGAATACTTCTTACCTAGAGAAACCAGAATCTCATAATTGGTTCTCATCACACACTTGTAAAGCTCCTTCTGCCAGGCCTCTAGATCCTGCCATTCTTGCTCAGAGAAGTAAATGGCAATATCCTCAAAAGTCAGAGGTACCTGAAAGTACATACATAATACACGTACAATCATGATTGCTTCGTAATGACTCTAGCTCCTTCTCATCCATTCAAAAGACTTTTGGAGCGAACACAGGTTTTTAATGTTTGGCAGCTTCTTTCTTGGGAACAGAACCAGTGTTCTGTTGTTAACCACAACTCTTCCACATTCCAAAAAGAATCCAGCACTTTGACCCTTGCTAATAAAACATTTCTTTACACCTGTGCCAGCACAGGATGTCCTTAAGACATATGTTTTTGCCATTGTGATGGATAAAAAAAAATAAATTGTATTTCATTGTTCTAATATGCATTAATCTGTGAGACTTAACATCCTTTTCATATTTTTGGGGGACAATCCACATATCTTTGTGCATGACTGTTCATATCCTTTATTCAGCATTCTAGTGGGCTCTTATAATTTGAATGAACTTTCTTATATTAGGGTTAATTCTTTCATTGACTAGCAAATGTTTTCTCCCAATATATCAATTGTATCTTTTTTTTTTTTTTAAATCAATCTTTATTGTTCATATTATTACAAAGGTTCCTCATTTCTTCCCCCCTCCACTAGGTTCCCACCCCACCCTCTGCCCCTTCCCCATCCCCATTGTCCTCATCCATAGGTGCAGTTTATGTTCAGTCTCTTCTTCCCTCCCTTTCCCCAATAGTAAATCCCTTTTCAGATAGTAAATCAGTTACTTAGCATTTTCTCATATCAATAATACCTCCACATGCCCAATGATACACTTCACACAAAAGACATTTCCCAATAGGTCCACCAGCCTTATCCAGGCCCCACCCAAGGCACTCACAGATCAACACCCCAGTCCTAAACTAACTCAACACATCCAGATCTAAGCCTTCATCACTTGATTCAGCAGACCCTCAAGTTCCCACGAAAGTTTCCAGCCATGTCTGAGAAGCAGCCGTGGGGCAGGGGCAGGCAAGGAGCGAGCTGTTCGGGCCTGGTGGCTCAGGGCCTGGCCTCTGTTGCTCTGGTTCATTCCACAACCAGCTGCTCCGGGTCTGGTCACTGCCGCTCCCGACCTAGTTGCTCTGGACTTGGCTGCTGCTGCTCCAGGCCTGGCCGCTCCCAGCCTGGCAGCCGCTGCTCCGGGCCTGGCCGCACCCGACCCGCCTGCTCCCCCGGGCCTGGCCGCTCCCAGCCTGGCAGCCGCTGCTCCGGGCCTGGCCGCACCCGACCCGCCTGCTCCCCCGGGCCTGGCCGCTCCCAGCCTGGCAGCCGCTGCTCCGGGCCTGGCCGCACCCGACCCGCCTGCTCCCCCGGGCCTGGCCGCTCCCAGCCTGGCAGCCGCAGCTCCGGGCCTGGCCGCACCCGACCCGGCTGCTCCCCCGGGCCTGGCCGCTCCCAGCCTGGCAGCCGCTACTCCGGGCCTGGCCGCACCAGCCCCGGCTGCTCCCCCGGGCCTGGCCGCTCCCAGCCTGGCAGCCGCTGCTCCGGGTCTGACCGCACCTGACCCGGCTGCTCTGGGCCCGGCTGCCCCGGGCCCAGCCGCTCCGAGCCTGGCCACTCCCAACCTGGATGCTCTGGGCTTGGCTACTGCTGTTCTGGGTCTGGCTGCTCCCACCCCGGCTGCTCCGGGCCCGGCCACTCTGGGTCTGGGTGTTCCTGGACTGGCCACCCTAGGCATGGCCGCCTCCGCTTCATGCCTAGCTGCCACTGCCCCAGGTCTGGCTACTCCAGTGCTGGCTGTTGATGCTCTGGTTCTGGCTGCTGTTGTTCTGGGGCCTGGCCGTTGCTGCTCCGGGCCTGGCTGCCACTGCCTTGTGCCTGGCCACTCTAGGCCTGGCCGCCGCTGTTCCAACATTCTGTCCTTTTTTTTTTTTTTTTTCTTTTTTCTTTTTAAAACACATTTATGTTGCAATGTTGGCTGGTGAGTTGAGTTCTGACTTAGTCTTTGATTTTTCAAGATCTTCTTTGTATTCTTTCTTAAGTAATTTTACTATTTTTTGCTCTCACTTGATTTCTTCACATTGAGAACTTCTTTGGTTTCTTCCTCCTTGTCCTGGGAGCTCAGCAGGTTGGCCTGTGGCACCCCTTTGTTCTCCGCGGGCTCCTGCGCTGCTTCAGCCTGTTGCCGGGACGGCGCCACCCAGGAAGCAGCCCCCGGCCTTGGCTCCATTGCCCGAGCTCAGTCTATCAATTGTATCTTGACTTATATGCGTGAAACATTTCAAACCTTTCATTTAGTTAAAAATCTGAGTCTTTTCCATATTGTTTCATTTGAAGTGTTTCCCACATCGTAAGTTTATACAGAGATTCTACTAATATTTTAGACTTACAGTTTAATCCTATAGAGGCTATTGATATATGTATTTACATAAATATGGAGAACCAATCATACAACACTATGAAATACAATAATCTTTCTCCTTAGAATGAAATACTAACCTTCAGCCCTTGCATATATAGTTGACCCTTGAATCATCCCTGGGTTAGGGTTGTATCTTTTATGTACAATTTATGTATCTTTTCCACTGCTTGGGAGTTGGCACACAAGCTGAAGCCCATCAACTGAGCCACACCAGCCAGGGTTAAACATTTTAAAAAAATCTTTATTGTTTAAAGTATTACATAGGTCCACCTTAAAAAAAATCTTTAAGTTTTAGAGAGAGAAAATAGAAGGGGAAAAACCCTAAATTGATTTGTTCTTTCATTTATTTATGCATTCATTGGTTGCTTCGTGTATGTGCCCTGACCAGAGATCCAACCAACAACCTTGGTATATAGGGAGGTTGTTCAGTTAACATCCAACTGAGCTACCTACTGGCCAGAGTTTCTATCTTTTTTAACATCTCACTGACAAATTTTTTTTTTTTTTATGTTACTGATTTGAGCCAGCTGGTGTGGTGGAGTGGTTGAGCATCAACCTATGAACCAGGTCTCGGATTGATTCCTGGTCAGGGCACATTCCCGGGTTGCAGGCTGGATTCCCAGTGTGGGATGTGCAGGAGGCAGCCAATCAATGAGTCTCTCTTATTGTTTTTTATTTTTCTCTCCCTCTTATTTCCTGAAATCCATTTTTTAAAAGTTATTGATTTGAGAGAAAGGGAGAAACATCGATTCATTGCCCCACCCATTCAGGCATCCACTGGTTGATTGTCGCATGTGCCCTGACTGGGGACAGTACCCAAAACCCTGACATATTGGTTAACACTCCAGTCAACTAAGCCACCTGGCCAGAGTCACCACTGACAAACTTTCTGAGTGTTGCGTGCTTAACATCGTTTCTTCATTAAGCTGTGTTTTTGTTGTTGTTTTGTTTTTTTAAATATATTTTATTGATTTTCCACAGAGAGGAAGGAAGAGGGATAGAGAGCCAGAAACATCGATGAGAGAGAAACATCGACCAGTTGCCTCCTGCACACCCCCCACTGGAGACGTGCCACAACCAATGTACCTGCCCTTGACCAGAATCGAACCTGGGACCCTTTAGTCCGCAGGCCGACGCTCTATCCACTGAGCCAAACCGATTTTGGCAAGCTGTGGTTTTTATTGCATGATTTTACCTGGCACTATAATTTTTTGAAATGTGTATGATATAGCATAGCAGCACTGAATGTTTTGTGTTAAATATACTTATTCTCTTCTCTATAGTAATTTCCTTACTTTTAAATATATTCTTATTGACTTCAGAGAGGATGGGAGAGGAAGGGAAACATCAGTGATGAGAGAGAATCATTAATTGTCTGCCTCCCACTGGGGACTGAGCCACAACTGGGTATGTGCTCATATGCATCTACATATGAACCAGACTGTGACCTGGTTCATATGTAGATGCTCAACAACTGAGCAACATCAGCTGGGCAGACTTCTTACTTTTAAATAGATGTTTTTCAAAAAGGCTCAAAAAGCCTTTATTGTTTATTACTTTAACTTTCAGTTTACAAGATCAAAAAAAAAAAATCAGACTATAACAAGCATCCCTGTATTTACCATTGACCTAACAAATTTAACATTTTTCTTTAAATTTCCTTTTATAAAAACAGAATATGACAGATGAAGCTCAAGTCTTCTTGATCTACTCTTCAATCTTGTTCTTTTCATTCAGTCTTATTCTCCTCCTCTTGGAGACGTAAACAATATGAAATAATATGTATTCTAAGGTTTTTATATCCTCTTCTATTTTTCCCAATGTTCACCATCCTATCTTCTTATACATTCAACACCAACTTCAACGTCAGCGGCTGAATTCTGACACGTAAGCCCCTGCCAGACACCACTGCAGCCAGGCGGAACCACGATCTTTGATGACAGTGCTGGTTCTGAATTTAGCAATTAAAGCTGGTTGAACCGCTACACAGCCCCAGAGCCCCCTCCGTCCTCTGCCTCGTCCGCCCCGGTGCCCGGGCGCCCCTGCCTCGCGCGGCCCGCTCCCGGCTCTGCCAGTCCTCGCGCGGCTGCGTCCAGGCGTCTGTCGGTCCACGGAAGAGCCCCCAAACCTAGCGGGGCCCACACCGCGCCCCACCTGTCCGAGGACGCGCTTACCGGAGCCCGCTCGGCCATGGCCTTCCGCTGCTCCGCCCGGCCCAGCGGCCTGACGCCTCGCACTCCGCCCCGCCCAGCGGGCCAGCCCCGGCGCGGTGCACGCTGGGACTGGCGGCCGGCCGCCGCTCGCCCTCACAGCTCCCCCTGCTGCCGGGAGGAGCGAACGCCACCTGCAGGAGCCGCCCGAGGTGTGGGTACTTGCGGAGGGGCACAGCCTGGCTGCCCAGGGTAGCCGCCACCTGTCTGGACGGATCCTGGCACTCTCTTGGGGGCTCACGGGCGACAGACAGAGACCAAGGCGAACTGAAAGAGCTGGAGAGGGACGAAGACGGAGGTAGGAAATGCAGTCAAGTGGAAATGGATGGAGAGGAGACAGGGATGGGTTCAGTCTGGTTCCTCCCCCAAACCGACCCCAGCCATCTGCGGGGTGACCCCAGGTATCAGATTGCTAGGAACGTCAGACAATTAAGGGGTATTAACAAGCAGATCCCCGAGTGGATAACTGGGAGTCCACCCTAAGGGAGACCCTTTAAAAATAGATATTATTGTCGATAGTATTACGGATGTCTCTCATTTTCTCCCTTTTTGCCTTGCTTCACCAGAGGGGGACTCTTGAGTATGTAGACCACACCGCAGAGTTGTATGGGTGAGGGCAAGGAAGCTCAGTGGTTATTCTCAGAAGGCATGCAGACATGGCATCCTGGATTTCATGGACTTAAATTAGAAAGGAGTTATTGTCTATACAGTCCAAGTAATAGTCTTATAATGTAAATATGAAATGGATCTCAAATTTACTCTGCCTTTTACTCTAAACAGTCAGTGTGGTTGAACGCTTGGGTTTATGGAATTGCTATTCCAATCCTAAAGGTTTTCTTTTTAAAAATTACACACATATATATAATTTAACAATAAAAAAATTTAAAAAGCCGATCATAATTCTCATACTTTAATGTAAATGCTCTATTTTTTCATGAAACTTCCAGTCACTGTTACAAGAACAGTTTTCCTTCCTATAATCTCTCCACTCACTAGGTCATATGTTCTGCAACTTTAGTTGTACAAGATTGTCATTCACTACCTCTCAGGAGGGTCCCAATGATCTGCATTTTAAAAAATATATTTTATTGATTTTTCACAGAGAGAAAGAGAGAGGGATAGAGAGCTAGAAACATCGATGAGAGAAACATCCATCAGCTGCCTCCTGCACACCCCCCACTGGGGATGTGCCCACAACCAAGGTACATGCCCTTGACCGGAATCGAACCTGGGACCTTTACAGTCCACAGGCCAACGCTCCATCCACTGAGCCAAATCAGTTTCGGTCCAATGGTCTGCATTTTTAATGCATATCCCAGGCCAGAACAACTGAAGTACATGGACAAGAAGCCAGTCAGCACTGACAGCCAGCTCACATACCCAGCCCTAGAGGCAAGGGTTTTTTCCTTTGCACAAAGGCACTATTGACTGAGGCTATACCGACAGGAACATATCAACCAGAGGTGGCACCTCTCCTTTCTGTTTAGACACTATGATTGGTAGAGAGCCCTTAATCCCAGCTGATTAGTTCAGATAATCCGGGACCACATGTCGTGCTACAAAGAATACTTTTTTAGGTCTTGAAGATCTCTAAGGAAGGAAATCTATGTATTTCTATCAGAATAATGTTAAAGATTGACAGTCCAAAGGACAGGTGAAGGTTATATCATTTAGGCACGTGTTTTGACCATAGGTTCATGCTTAAAACTACAGCTGTTGGCAATAATTGTGCTGGGAGGGCTCTGCCCTCCAGGCTGGGACTTGCACATGGCCGAAAGAGGACTGTGTCCTCTCGTCAGTCCAAGGCTTGATTGAACCTGTCCAAACACTGTAGCTGCGCCTCACAGTTTTATTTTCACTTAAAAAAATCAGTTCTACGTTAAGACAACTGTTTTCACAGTAATAGCTGTGTAAGTTTTGAGGTTTCAGAAAGGAGCACAGAGCTCTGAAATATGTGCCTCAACCCTTATGTGCCTCAACCCTCTTTGGTTTTTTTTGGATCAACCATATGTAAGGTTTCAAGATGTTACCCCCTCAATCTGAGGACACAGGGAGATCTAAGTATATCTAAGAATTACAAAAGTTCTAGAAACAGCTAGAATCCTGACCCCTCTACATATACTATTTATTCACATGATCACAATTTCTATTCTTACAATCCAACCATTTGAAAAGATAATATAAGGAATAAGTACAATATATAAAAATTAGCCTAAAATTGTTGAAGAAAACTCAAAAGGTGCCCGTGAGACAGCCAAAATTGAGGAGAATAGGGGTGAGACAAAGTTATGAGGGGAAAAATGCCTCCTAGGTCCTAAAAATAAGTGTTCACTCTTTAAAAGCTGTTATTTATCTTTAAGAGAATCTTGTTTTGCATGAAGGAAGGTCATTCTACTGATGTTTATTTGGTAAGTAAGCTAAATATTTAAGCATTTCCTCCCTAATAGTTCTATAAATTATCTCCTAAAACAATGTTTAAAGGAAAAACTTTAAAGGTTAAGATAATGATGTAGAATGATAAATACTTTATTCAGCAGATAGTTTTTCAGTTCCATTTGTAATTATAGTAAAAGAAAATCTCTTGCTGGCTATTATGTTTTACTTAAATAGTTAGGTTCAAGGAAAAAAATGTTAAATTTCAAACCTCTAAAGCTATATTCCATATAAATATATAAATATATACATAGATGTATGCATATATCTACTCTTCTATATGAACCATTCAAAACAATTTATAAGTCATTCTTTTCTGTATTTAAAATTGTCCTTTCAAATATGTAGAAGTTCCACAGGTGGCGGCTTCAATGGAATTTTCCCCAGGGTAAATTTCTGGGCCTGAAATTGCCCCAGTTCTTCTGCTGTTAGTTGATGCTTGGGTGTGAATAATTCATTACCTGTTGTCGTGCTGCCATTTGAGATGGGGACAGAGGTGGATGTGCTGCTATGTCCATCATGAGTGCCACTGAATGACTTGGAAAAAGGAGTGTGAGAATGTGAGTCTGGACTACCAAAGCCAGCCACAGAACTGCTGTTTCCGAAGGCTGGGGCCCCTGGAGCTCCCACAGGGCCTGCTGCCATGGGAGCGGGGAATCCAGAAAACCCGGCTGAGCCAAATCCCAAGGCTGCAGGGGTTTTAAAGGAAAATGAAGCAGCAGATGTGATTTCGGGTTTCCCAAATCCAGGAGCAGGAGTAGAAGTAGTGATGGCAGGACTGGTAGAGGGAACAGCTCCAAATGCTGGAATATTCCTGAACACAGAAGGGCTTCCAGAAGGTGCAGTAGCAAATCCAGAGCTTGTAAAACTAGAATTTTGAGCATTATCACTCGTGCTGTTATTCACTGGAAAACCTAAAAATAAACCAGATTGTCAGAAAATGTAGCCATATTTCCTGCCAGCTCCCCACCCCCGGGGGCAATTTCTTCCTTATTCCTGCCCTGCTTGGATGTTGGAAAGAGAGAAGATTACTAGAAGGAGAGAAGGAAAATGAGAAACTAGAACAAACCCACTGGACCTTGTTCTGTCTTTCTGCTATTGCTACACTGATCCCATTTGCACCATAATTTACCTCCACTCCCTGCCGTCCATCCAAATCTCACCAGAGCTGTCACTTGAGGATATAATTGTTATTATACAAGTGACAAGAAAGTCCTCAAAGGTGCTGCTTCCCTAACTATCAAAATCTTGAAAACCATTCCTAAAATATACTTTTAAAGCTTGAGCCATAGGGTCTTCAATGGTACTTAACATATCTTCAGTCTTAATGATTTGAAACCTATAAAGTCCTATTTTTCTAAATCAACGAAGTCCTGCATTACTGTATCACTCACCTGGTGACCCAAATGTTGCTGTTTGCCTACTGCCAAATCCAAATGCAGGTTCTGCTTGATTTATTCCATCCTTTATATCGGAGAGCTGTAAAAACAGGCAAATAATAAAATACTTGATAAATAATTTTCAAGTACTTTTTCTATAAACTTTAGAGCCAAATTCAATGTTTAAAATATGCAGTTAAAAATGTGAAGTTAAATGATTAACATAGAAAAATGCCCACAATATGAATACACATTAAAAAAAAAAAAAAAAAAAAGGTAAACATAGCTCAAAGATTAAGAGTAATTGGTTAATGAATTATGGTTTTAATTTTATTCTTGCTTTTAAATATTTTCTAAATTTTCAAATGAACACATATTAAAATAAAAAAATTTTAAATAATATATTTCAGTATCTATAGGCTTATCTGCATTTATCAAGAAACCTAGTTACTAGGTAAGGACCTTTAGAGTTCCCATTCTATTCATTCTAACACTTGAACTGAAGTTGATTCACACTACTGAACCTTACCACTAACATTTATTAAACATTTCCCATTGCCTGCAAATACTTTATGCTCTTGCTATTTCCTGCTCTAGAAATGTCTTCATCTCTGCTTACTGAAATCTTAATCTCCCTTTTAAGAAACCTTTCACCTACCCCTTCCTCAAAAGCCTTTCCTAATCAACTCAAACAGATATAATTTCTCTCATTTGGAAGCCCCAATAGCATATTTAAAAATTAAATCCTATTGAGATATAGTTTTCATACAATAAAATACATCCATTTTATATCTATATATTTATAAAATATATATATATTTCAATGAGTTTTGACAAACTTATAATTACCATTATCAAGATTCAGAACATTTCCATCACCCCTAAAAGTTCCCTGTGTCCTTTTCCAGTCAGCTCTTCCCCAACTCCTGGCCCTAAGAAACCACTCATCAGCTTTCTATCAGTATAGACAGGTATGTCTTTTTTAGTTTCGTATAAATGAAGTATTAGTATGAACTCTTTTATTTGTCTAGCTTCTCTTTTAGTGTGATATTCATTAATAGGTAAATGAATAAACAATGTACATTCATTATTCATGTCATTTTTCACAGCAATTTATTTTTAATTGCTAGTAACTTGAAATATTTGAATGTATGTAATATTTTCCAATTTCAAAATTAGTACTACCAAAGTTAAAATTCACTCTTAATTTTTTTTTAAAAAAAGCATGATTTCCTGTGTTTTTCTGACTGAAGAATGGAGAGAAAGCAATTTAAGGGCCTTGCCTCTAAATGATGATACAGTTCTTGAAAATGTGTGTATCATTATTTGTGTTTGTTTTTTTAAAATATATTTTTATTTATTTCAGAGATGAAGGGAGAGGGAGAAAGAGATAGAAACATCAATGATGAGAGTCTGGGATCAGCTGCCTCTTGCACACCTGCTACTGGGGATCAAGCCTGCAACCTGAGCATGCACCTTGTCCAGGAATCAAACCATGACCTACTGATTCATATGTTGATGCTCAACCATCGAGCCACACTAGATGAGCTTAACTTTGCTTTCCAAATAGAAAGTAAAATTCTCTGCAAAAAAGCAATAGATAAGTCACTTCCCGTAGCGAACTCTCCAATACTCACCAAAGCTATTTTAGTTGATGTATTTAGCGTTTTCAGTTCATTTACCCTGTTCCTCCACTGATTTTTTAATTGTTGAACAGAATTTAGCTGAATAGAGAAGACAGAAAAATAATGCGTCAATATTGAGTATTTAAGTTAATCTCTTAAATGACAACTTCATGTCTTTGCCAAAATCACAAAAAGTTTATGAAACATTCTTATTGTCCATAACTTGTAAAATTCGTATTGACCTGCCCCTATTTTCCAAAGATATTCCAGTTACAGTCCCCTCGACTTGTTTTTCAACTCCTTGTATTTTCTGGTTAAGAATCCTAAGTATTTGGCAACAGAGAGTTAGTTATATTTGGATAGGAGGCAAACATGTGTGCTAGTTAAAAAGCATGATCATGACTGATGACAACAAAAAATACAGACTTTATTTCATTTCCTTTAGTACCAAACTTATTCAAGCCTAGCTTTTTTATTTTTTGATATATGATATGTGAGAATGTTAATCCAGATAACAGATTGCTTTATTTAACTTTGTCTTTCTAACTTTCATCACGATGTCTGCACCTAAGAAATGCTCTATAAATGTTTGTCAAATGATGAAAGGGTTTGATTTCTGGGAATGATTGCTGGATAATTTGTAATGAAATAATGACATTCCCAGTTACTACTTTAGATAACCAATCAATTTTAAGGAAAGTAATTTAGAAAAAAAAAACTTGTCCTGAAAAACTTGTAGACCTCACCCACTTTGCCAACACAAGCAAGCCTTGACTACAAATAGAGAAGATAGAAAAATTATCAGCTAATCTGTTATTGAGATAGATGAATAGGAAATAAACTTACATAACTCTGTAAGTTATTGCTGGTTAAGAAGTTATGGTATTCAAGCCTCAACTCCTCTGGTGAAATGTCTGTAAAACCTGAAGTGAGGAATCAATTTGAATCTTTAAAATAAATGCCAATACTTTCAACAGTATAGTAAAGCTAGAGGTGCTAGACAAGAAAGTATGCTAATGCTGATCATTAGAAAATTTACGTAATTATAAGGAGCCTGCACTCTCACGTTTAAATAAGTATAAAATTAAAATAAAATGTAGTTGGTTATTTGATCTTTGAAGGGGAACTTTTTATAAAGATAAACAGAGAGGAAAGAATAACAAAATGGACAGGAAAGAATAAGAAAGAGAAGAAAAAGAAAGTTGACTACATATACATTCAAACTTCTGTCTAAAAATATCCTATATGTTAGAAACAATAAGCAAAATTAAAAGGCAAATCATAAACTGGGAAAACCATAATTGCAACATGACAGGAGAAGAGCTAATGTTAGTGAAACCGGTTTGGCTCAGCGGTAGAGCGTCAGTCTGCGGACTGAAAGGTCCCACGTTCGATTCTGGTCAAGGGCATGTACTTTGGTTGCGGGCACATCCCCAGTAGGGGGTGTGCAAGAGGCAGCTGGTCGCTGTTTCTCTCTCATCTACGTTTCTAGCTCTCTATCTCTCTCCCTTCCTCTCTGTAAAAAATCAATAAAATATATTAAAAAAAAAAAAGAAGAGCTAATGTTAATATATGAATCAAATCAATAAAAAAAAGTTAATCTGAGCAAGTATAATAGGCAAGTCACAAAAATTCAAATAGCCAGTAAAGTTAAATTTAAAAATATAACTTAAAAGAGATAAATTGCAAAAATGAAAAATGAATATTTATTGTTATTAAGAATGTGGTGAAGTGGACTTTCTCTTAAGCTGACATTAAGGGAATTAAAAATATACAACTTATTTAGGAGGAAAATTGTCAATAATCATTACTAGCCTTAGAAATGTTCACACCTTCTGACCTTAATATAATTTTTAGGATATAACCTCACGAAACAATTAGATACATGGAATCTGTTGCAATATATTGCCTGGTTGCAGTGTCTGAAGAAAACCTGTTCTCACACAGATATGTAGTTGGGAAAGGATTAATTTAATGGCCTTTTCAGATAATTATGAATATTATTCTTTGATATTGTATCAAAACTTGACAAGTAGTAGTTTCTTTTCCTTTTTCTTTTTTTTTATTCTCACCCAAGGATATTTTCCCATTGAGTTAGAGAGAGTGGAGAGGGAAAGACAGAGAGAAATATGTATGTGAGAGAAACACAATGATTGGTTGCCTCCAGCATGTGCCCCAACCAGGGCTGGGTCTGGGGAGGAGCCCACAACCCCAGAATGGAATCCAGGACCCTTTAGTCTACAGGCTGATGCCCTATCCACTGAGCCAAACTGGCTAGGGCAACAGGTAGTAATTTCTAAAGGCTAGTTACTACAATGTGGATGCAAAATTTTTATACAATTATATTAAATCCACTGGTTTATCTTGCACTTAGAAAGGGTTTTTTTCAGCCATGTATAATTTTGTAACATTATAGATTGAGCATTTGGAAGTTCTACTGAGTTATCTAGAACTTCCAAATGTTGGTAAATGTCATTGTATAATTTTAAAATATTGATATTTATTAATGTCATTATCCATCTCATCAGACAAGACTTAAGTATCAAGAAGTCATCAAGCTCACATTAGCAGAAAAGTTTTCCATAATCTATCACTTGAAAGGTTGAATTTTATCATTGGCAATAAACACAGTCAGTTGTTTTCTATGAAGTGATAGGCTTACTTAATTTATTTTTTTAAAGAAAATGTTACCAAACACTTAAGTCTAAATAACCATAGTTCTCAGTCATTCTTTCAAATAAAAATTGTCCTGTGGGGGGAGAAAAGTGGCTGGTTCACTCCCAAGTCAGTGACCACATGAGTGCTTTCCCGCAACATAACCATCACGTGGCAGAAGCTCTTCATTTGCAAAAAGGTTTGCACTCAAAGGTCAAGATTTAATAAAAGCAATAACTTTCACCATTTCATCAAGGACATTGAGTCAATTATTTAAGGACATTAAGTAAAATAATTAAGTCAATTATTTTTTAATTGACTACTATGTAGTTTGTTAATATAGTTTATTATCTTGGCCTTGATGTATATTTACTACAATGCAATGTGTTTTATGCTCTAATGCTTTTGCACCAACTGTGCTAATGTCAAAACAGTGAAAATGGCAATTAATGTGTATTATGATGAAAATACTTTTTAATTTTTACAGCCCTTGAAAGGGTCTCGGGAATAGGATTGCCAAATGTAGTAAACAATACAGAATGCCTAGTTAAATTTGAATTTCAGACATACAACAAATACTTTTTTAGTGTAAGTATGTCACAAGGGCTATTCATATACTAAAAATATTATTCTTTGTTTATCTAAAATTTAAATTTAACTGGGCACTCCATAATTTATCTGGTAACCCTACTTAGGAATCTACATTCCATATTTTGAGAACCACTGCTTTAGGCATTCAGTAAGCATTAGGTTCAATTCTGAAATGATTTTAAAAGGCTTAGTAGTTCTTTATTTTCTTTATAGAAAAATCATTATCTGAAATTCTCTTATTTGTATTACTTATTGGCTCCCTCCCTCAAGAACATAAGCTTCAACAGGGAGGGATCTTGTCCATCTTGCTTATCACTATATTTCAGCACTTAGAATAGGCACAAAAGAAATTCAGTAAGAATTTGTTGAGTGATTGAGTAAATAACTATCTAAGGAGTTGTGTGCACAAATGCTCACAGAGAATGAGCAGGTGGAGCTGACACACAGCAGAGGCCCCAGAGTTTTGAGGGATTGCACGGGCTTTCATCGGCGAGGCACCTGCTATTTACGCAATAGGGCAGAAGCTCAGGACCACCCAGAGTGAGGTTAGAGAAGTGTGGTGTCTAGGTTTCAGCCCAGAAAGGACTTAGAAACTGTGGACCAAAGAAAATGGGAAGGAAAGGGTTTTCTACAGAAATGCTATCCCTATCACCCAGCTAAAACTCTTTACCTTCAGACATTACCTTCAGTGTAGGTCTTCACATGCTTTATGAAAACAACTATCCTTAAAAGGAAAGATAGGGAAGCAAGAGAAGAAAGAATCAGACAGCCAAGGCCTTAGTTAGCATCAGGCAGCCTATGACTCTTCTGTTCACTGCAGGGGCAGCCAAGAGGTTCTGAAGTTGTACCTGAAGGGAACAGAGAAAGCAGAGCCGCTGCCCGGGCTTACAGAATGGGGACTGGTGGGTCCTGATTGTACTGAGAATTACATATCTTAAAAGAACTGTACCTTCCAGAGGTTCTACTATAATACTCAAATACTCTGAACAATGTTAACTTATTTATTTGGCATGGTCCTGGTTTTAGAAAATAAGAGTGGTAAACATATTTAAAAAACATACAATTTCTCAGTTACCTGAAATACTAGGTTTCTTTTTCATTGGTGAATAAGCAGAGAACATCCACTGCCCTGATGATTCCCAAACCTCCATATCTTTCACAATTCCTTCCCTGACAAAAAAAGAGAATCTTTTTCATCTGCTGATTCAAATTTATCATTTTCAATGACTGAAATTTTAAGTTGTAGTAAATACGTAATTTTATATTTTTTCCATTACGTTTCCTCAAATGTTTATTAAAGTAGAAGCTTATAGAATATAAACTACACTTCATGTTATAGATATTATAAGACTAAAGAAGTTCATAGCCGAAACCGGTTTGGCTCAGTGGTAGAGCGTTGGTCTGCGGACTGAAAGGTCCCAGGTTCGATTCTGGTCAAGGGCATGTACATTGGTTGCGGGCACGTCCCCGGTAGGGGGTGTGCAGGAGGCAGCTGGTCGATGTTTCTCTCTCATCGACGTTTCTAGCTCTCTATCCCTCTCCCTTCCTCTGTAAAAAATCAATAAAAAAAAAAAAAAAGAAGTTCATAATTTTGGTTTTCCAGTACATGGAACCAATAACCAATTCAATTAACTGAGCACTACTGTACAATATGTATTAAGGAACTAAAATACAATCTAATATACAACTTTAATCTTTTTGCTCATTATCATAAACATAAATGATCATTTAACTGGGAAAGTGGAAAGTATTATATATATATAACATCTACATAGACATATATATGTATGTATATATATATGATGTATGATGTATATACACACATCATAACTTTTATGATGTGCACTGACCACAGGGGGACAGATGCTCAGTGCAGGAGCTGTCAAGCCACAGCAACTTTGCAGAGTGCCCTCTTGCATTCCAGGGGGGGGGATGTTGGGGTTGTTGGACTGCTGGTTTCAGCTCAATCCCCACAGGCCAGGCCAAGGGACCCTGCTCACGTCACAGACACCCTTTGATCCCTCGAGCCACCTCAGGTGTAACTGGCTGGAGAAAGACCGCAGGAGGTTGGCTCCACCATGTGTCCAGCCCATCTTGCCCAGTCCCGCCCCATAGGCTACCTTCTAATTAATTTCCTTTCAACATGCACAAATTCATGCACTGGGCCTCTAGTGTAATATAAAGCATAACATTTTTAAATGGGTAGGACTTTAGAGATCATTTTGTCTAATTCTCACGTTTTTCAAAAGTTAATTTGTTGGCAAAGCTGTGGATAGAGTCAGCTCTAAATTAAATCCCCTCCTGCCCTGTCCAGAATGCTACAATTAATAAAACCATAGATACCACAGAGAATCTATATTAAATTTAGGATTTTTACAAAAACATCAAATACAGGAAGGAGAGGCTCATTTGTTTTTTCTTAAAAAAAAAACCAGTAGTATAATGGTACATGGCTTAAAATGTTACCGTTGGTTCTAATTTGGTTATATGGAAAGTAAAAGACTAACAAGTATATTTTTATCCTGGGAACCAGAAATTGAGGGAAGATACACATAGCCAGGCACTGATTTGGCACCAGTTGTAACTTCTGCTACAAATGTTCTCAAGAAATGCTAAGGAATTTAACTCCAAAAAAGGGAAGGGAATCAAATTAAATCAAGTTGAATGATATAAATGAAGTAAAAGTTTTAAAAAGAAAAATACGAGATGCTATTTGACCTCCAAGATCGCAAGTTGCTTTAAATTACCTCATACTTTACAACCAGCTTAAGAGGACTAGCATCACAATATAGTGTTATCAACAGAAAAGTGGGAAGAACATAATTAGCTCTAAGAAGGCTCTGTACTGATATGGAATGATGACACATTTTTAAATGAAATAAAACCTAGTATGGTATCTATGCAAAATATTATAGTGGTTATCTCTGAGTGATAGGATCGTCAGTGCTTTTTCTTCTTTTTGCTTAGTATTCTGATTTTTAATATTTATTTATTTATTTATTTATTTATTTTTCTTTATTTTTTCTCATTTTTTAAATTAAGGTATTATTCTGATTTTTTAAATAATGTATTATTTCTTTAAAAATATACATAATTTAAAAACGAAAAGAAAATAGATAATTTTTCTGAATGCTTTCACTTACAGAAGTTTCTTTTCGTCTTTCTGTGCATCAGAGGTAGGTGAAGTACCAAATGGGTTCTGAGATAATCCAAACCCGCTGTTCCTGTTAGTTGAATCTCCAGAATCAAAAGAACCAAAAGATGATTTTTCTTGCTCTCTGCTGCCCCCCCATGGCGTAGATTTGGAGAAACTGGATGGCTGGATAACATTGGAGTATCTCTGACTGGTGGCATTCCATCCACGTCTGTTACTACCTGAAATAAAAAATAAATTTTCCAGCAACTCATCTTTTAAATATCTGAAAATTTAATTATATTTTGTCTTATTACACACAGACATTATGCAAAGACTCAACATTTCCACTCATTTTTAAAGCATAAAACTCTTCATTTTTTCCTTATATACTGTAGTTCAGTGTAATATCAACCAATCACATAATAGTCTAATTGGATTTCTGGTTAATATAATTGAGAAGACTGTAAATCCTTAGAAAAATAATGATATTATTACTAAATTCAGCTGACATAAGCTTATTAGGTAAACAATTGTTTCATAGTAGTGTGGATAGAGGACATTTATGCTAAATCATAAGCTCCTTCAGGATAAAAAGCTATCTTTATTATTCTTGCTCTCCCAGTGGGCTTAAAATAGTAATAAAGTCTGAAAAGTTAGGAATGTACTAAAAAGTCTGTTGAATATAAAAGATTAGATTCTACCCTCTCTCTGTCTTTGAATAGATGCTTAAATTTATTTGACTCTGTATTTTCTCTGGAAAACAGCCTCCTATCTTTCAGGGGGAGATTATAAAGATGATTTGCATATGAAAAAGTACATTGAGTTCCTCTATTATGAGCATATTACTAATATTTCATAATTATCAAAATGAGCCAACAGGACTCTAACCTGTTTCTATATTTAAAAAATCTTATCACTTAAAGTATTTCAGTTACCCAACTTCCTAGTTGGGTCCAAGATAATTCACTGAATTAGAGATAGTCCATTCAATATATTAAAAATCGGAATGATGGGAGATATACTTCTTTATGAAAATTCATCTACCAACTCTAAAACTCCTTAATAAAACCAAAGAGAAAAGGCAGCATATGGCTGGACCAGAAAGATCCCGCAAGCAGAAATTAATGATATTTCATTTTTCTAAAGCTCCAAATCCTTTGGGGAATGACACCACAGAAGTTCAATTAATCTTTTGTTATATAGCTTTTGGTCTTCATACTTAGTGATTTCAAAAACATTTTGTTTCAGGTAGCTAAATACACTATGTGATGAGTTTTATTACACTTTCCATCAATTAATCTATCCAATACATTCTGTTGTTCATGGAAGCACACTCACATTTATCAGATTCCGAGGCCTAATTTTTGGTTTGGAGTAATTCATTACAGCTATTGTGGGTAATGCAAAAAAGACTACCTTCAAGAAGGGGGATCAGGTATGAAGCCACAATGCAACTTAAAGCTGAAAGGTAAGATGAACATCCCTAAAAAAGGGGAGGGGGGTGAGAGTGCGGGAGGTGGTCAGCATCTTTTGATCCTTTAAAGACTAAGTTCCAATTCTAAGAGAAAACCTCTTCGTCTGACCCTTTAAGAGCTTGTGTTGTACTATGGCTTCATGTTTGATCTCTCCTCTCCTTGAAGATGGTTCTTTTTTGCATCATTCATAATTGGTTTAAGGAAAACATTCCCAAACCTTCGTTAATGACTTAGGCCCAGGGAGCAGGTCCACCTGATCCTCTACATTCCGTTCCCTCATAGCCCCGAGTTCTTAATTGGGCACCCCATCCTCCCAGTTTTACCCCAAATTTTATGAGCATAAAATTACTCCAAACCAATTTTATGGCTCTGTAAACTTGTTGTATTTCCAAAGGAGTTCGCGACTTCCCCGAAGTTAAGAGCCCTGACTGATCCAAGTTGCTAGCCTCTCCCTCGGAAAAAAAAAATGTTTAGTAAAAATTATATTCGAGTCAAAACCGGTTTGGCCCAATGGACAGAGCGTAGGCCTGCGGACTGAGGGGTCCTGGGTTCGATTCCGGTCAAGGGCATGTACCTTGGTTGGGGGACATCCACAATGAGGAGTGTGCAGGAGGCAGCTGATCCATGTCTCTCTCTCAGCGATGTTTCTCTCTGTCCCTCTCCCACTCCTCTCTGTAAAAAATCAATAAAATATACTTTAAAAATTATATTCGAGTCAAGGGCGGGGAGGAGAACAAATACCCAGAAAGGTAGAGAAAGGCAAGGAGGCGTTTGGGCCGACCTCCCTGAACCACTGCCACGCACCGAAGGGGTAGCTGTGACACGGACCTCTGACTTAACCCTCATTGTCCGGTCTCAGAACCGGGACCACGCCCCCGGCGTCATCCGCTCAACAGAGGCCGACCGAGTGCCTAAGGGCGGATGAAACCGTCGGAAAGAAACCGAGTGGCGGGCGCTGCGCGGAGTCCCAGGCGGGAGGCCCGTTCCTTCACCGCCAGACCCCAGCCCGCCCATCCCATCCCGGCCCGGCCCATCCCAGCCCGGCCAGCGGCGGCGGCGGCGGGCGGAGCGCGAGGTCACCTGAGTGCTGCTGGTGCCGTCCACCGCCCGCACCCCAGGCGCCAGGGTGTTCGTTCCAGCACCGCTCCCCAAAGCGACACCGGCCCTGGAGGAAGAACTGACAGACGGTCATGGCGGCGGCGTCGCCGACGGAACGGTCCCAGAGCACCGGACCCGAGTGCAGAGCCTAAACAAACCGAGAGTTCCGGCCCCGCCTCCGTGACGTCATCTCCCGGCGCCGCGCCCCGCCTTCTGGCGATGAGAGGCGTGGGATTCACCCAATAGGAATCGAGAAGAGCGGAGGGCCCCCAGGGAGCCTGGGAAGGCGGAAAGCTTGAACCCGTCCTTAGGGAAAGAGGCGGGTTTAATTAACCTGATATGGCGCCTCCGGCTGCGAGGGAGGCTCGAGCTCGGAAGGAGATGACAGCGAGTCCAGCAAAGCTGGGACCTGAGCAAGGCCTCGAGAGGAGCATTAGCTGTGGTTGGAGAGGCCGCATGTAACACGGGCAACAGCTGAGAAAGGAAAAGGGTGCCCAGCCGTTCATCAGGATGGATACCCATGTCAGGGAAAGGCATCTGTAACGTTAACCGGGAACGGCGTTTCTTTTAAGGACAGTCTGAATGAAAGGTATTATAACCGCCCCCAGTTTTGGACGAATACTGTGTTCTTCAACACCGGGAAGCCGCCGAAACCGGTTTGGCTCAGTGAATAGAGCGGCTGCCTTCGGACTGAAAGGTCCCGGGTTCGATTCCGGTCAAGGGCAGGTACCTTGGTTGCGGGCACATCCCCAGTAGGGGGTGTGCAGGAAGCAGCTGATCGATGGTTTTCTCTTATCGGTGTTAGACTCTATCCCTCTCCCTTCGTCTCTGTAAAATAAATAAATAAATAAATAAAAATAAAAATAAATCAATGAAAAAAAAATACAATGTAAAATACCGGGGAAACCTTTTAAGTCCACCTACAAGTTGGTATTTGTAGGACTAGCCTGGAGGATCTAAGACACGAACAGGGGAGCAGTCCCGATTACTACCCAGGAGTGGAGCTCAGATAAGGGGTTCCTGTAAAGAACATCTCATATTCTCTTAACTTTGTAGTTTCCAATGAAAGGTGAGCCTACACACCCACTTCTCAGAACAAATCTGATGTTGCTTTTACACACAAGGGCTTTGCTTTGAGCCTGTCAGTAGTGTTTCACTTAAGTTTTACCTAAAGTGCACCTTCCCCACAAATCCTACAACTCTCTTTTGTAGAGTGAGACACCCTACAGTACCTCTGGTGTTGAAACGCGGAAATTAAACTGAAACGCGTGTTTTTCCTCTGAGCAGGATGCAAGGCTCATTTTCCAGGTTCTTGTTCAGGTGGATATGAAGAACGAAGTCACGGACAAAAGGTGGTATCGGGAAAGGTGGACATTTTTTGGGAAACATGCAGACTCCCACATGGGGAAGGGGTCCCAAAGGGTAGCCCACTAAGCCCCTTTTTCTTCAGGATTATAAAGCCTGCAGTTCTTTATGTCCTCATGTTCTCCTCTGATTGGTCACTGTAGCAGCGATAGAGCTCAAACCCTACATAGAGCTCAAACCCTACATGGGGGTCCCCCTTTATTTTTCTCCCCCTCCTGTGGTAAAATCCTCTATTCCCTGTGAAGATCTGTTTTCCCCGTTGTCTTCTGTGAATGAGTATTTTCCTCGCCCTTTAGGCTGTGGAGCCTTTAGTTCTTGATGAATGTATGCCTTTTGGCAGCCCCCAGCCCCCAGCAAACACTGCCTCTCCCATGGACCCATCACTATTTTGTAACTACCAATTTGTACTTTTTAATCTCTCCACCTTTTTTACCCAGCTCTTCAACCCCTCTCCTCTCTGGCAACCATTAGTCTGTTCTCTGTATCTACGAGTCTATTTCCATTTTGTTTGTTCATTTGTTTTGTTTTCTAGATGCCACATATAAATGAAATCATGTTGTCTTTGACTTATTTTACTTAGGATAACAACCACTAGGTCCATCCATTTTGTCACAAATGGTGAAGTTTCATTCTTTTTGGCTGAGTGGTATATATGTAATTTCACCATTTTTTTTTTTAAATCCACTCATCTATTAATGAATACTTGGGTTGCTTCCATATTTTGGTTATTGTAAATAATGCTGCAATGAACACAGGGGTGCATTTATTCTTTCAAATTAGTGTTTTGGATTTCTTCAGATATATACCCAGAAGTGGAATTGCTGGGTCATAAAGCAGTTTTTTTAATTTTTAATTTTATTGATTTTTTACAGAGGTAGAGAGAGGGATAATGAGCCAGAAACATCGATCAGCTGCCTCTTTTACACCCCCTATTGGGGATGTGCCCACAACCAAGGCACATGCCCTTGACTGGAATCGAACCTAGGACCTTTCAGTCCGCAGGCAGATGCTCTATTCACTGAGCCAAACTGGTTTCAGCAAAGCAATTTCATTTAAAAAATTTTTGAACCTCCATACACTTTCACATTGGGGCTGCATCAATCTGCATTCACACTAACAGTGCATGAGGGTTCCCTTTTCTCCAAATCCTCACCTACACTTGGTATGTATATATGTATGTATGTATTTATTTATTTTTAACACTTGGTATTTATTCATAGATGATAGCCATTCTAATAGGTGTGAGGTGATATCTCATTGTTTTAATTTTCATTTCTCTGATGATTAGTGACATTGAGCATCTTTTCATATGTCTATTGGTCACCTGTATGTCCTCTTCAGAGAAGTGTCTTTCAGGTCCTCTGCCCATTTTTTTTTTTTTTTCTAAGTTGGATTGAGTTTTTGGTGTGGAATTGTGTAAATTCTGTGTAATTTATGGTTATTAACCCCCTATCAGGTGTATCATTGGTGAACATCTTCTATTCAGTAGATTGTATTTTCATTTTCTTGATTTCCTTTGCTGTGCAAAACCTTTTCAGTTTGATATAGACTCCATTCCCCCCTTCCCCCCCTTGCTGGAGGAGATATATCAGAAAACATATTGATGAGAGATGCCAGATTTGCCTATGTTCTCTTTTACTGTTTCGAGTCTTACATTAAATCTTTAATCCATTTTGAGTTCTTATATATAGTGTGAGGTGGTCTAGTTTCATGTTTTTGCATGTATCTGTCCAATTTTCTCAGCAGCATTTATTGAATAGACTATCTTTACCCTATCCTATGTTCTTGTCTCCTGTCATTGACCATATATTGCCTTACTCATATTTCTTTAGTCTCCTTCATTCTGGAATATTTCCTCAGTCTTTCCTTGACTTTCATGACCTTGACACCATTGAAGGCTACAACTTATTTTGTAGAAGTTCCTCAATGCAGATTTATCTGTGTTCTCATGACACATTCTTTCCCTACCCCCCAATAGAGTGAAAACTTTAAAACCCAACATAAAAAAGTGTTCAGAATAGGCAAATCTAGAGAAAGAAGGATTAATGGTTGCGTAGGACTGGGTGTTTGAGGGATATAACTGGGTTGAATAATATCTCCCCAAAATTCATGCCCACTCAGAACTTTAGAATGTGACCTATTTGGAAATAGGGTCTTTGCAAATGTCATCAGCAGAGATGAGGTCATAGTAGATGGGGTTAGGGTGGGCTAAATCCAATGACTGTTGACCTTATAACACCATATAAAGTCTCAGAGACACACAGGGGGAAAGGCCAGGTAAAGACAGAGGCAGTGAATAAAGTGAGGCAGCTATAAGTCTAGGAACAGCAAGGACTGCCAGCAACCACCAGAAGGTAGGAAGAGGCTTGGGTAGTTTCTGCCTCAAAACTTCCAGAAGGAAGCACCCTGACCCTTGATGTAGGACTTCTGCCTGCTGTATTAAGAGTACATTTCTGGCCCTAACCGGTTTGGCTCAGTGGATAGAGTGTTGGCCTGAGGGCTCAAGAGTCCCAGGTTCGATTCCGGTCAAGGGCATATAACTTGGTTGCAGATATATCCCCAGTAGGGGGTGTGCAGGAGGCAGCTGATTGATCTTTCTTTCTCATTGATGTTTCTGACTTTCTCTCCCTCTTCCTTCCTCTCTGTAAAAAAAAAAAAAAAAAAAAATCAATAAAATATATATATATATATTTTTAAAAAGAGAACATTTCTGTTGTTTTAAGCCACCAAGTTTGTAGTAATTTGTTGCAGGCCATCGTGAAATGAGACATGGGAAAATGGTGAGTGATTGCTAATGGGTATGGGGTTTCTTTTTGTGGTGATGAAAGTGTTTCAAAATTGTGGTGACAGCTGCACAACTCTGCGAATATATTAAAGAACATTGGATGGTATACTTTAAATGGTGAATTGTTTGATATGTACATTATATCTTAACTAGAGGCCCAGTGCACAGATTTGTGCACATTGAAATTAGTTACAAGGTGGTCAGCAGGGCAGGAATGGGCTAGACAGGCTGGATACTCTCTGGAGCCAACTTCCCATGATTCCTTTTTGGCCGGCCACACCTGGAGTGGCACCACAGCTCAAAGGGTGTCTGTAGAGTGAGTGGGGTCCCTCTGGCAAGTGGGGTCTCTCAGCCTGGCCTGTGGGGATCCGGCCGAAACCGGCTCTCTGACAACCCCCAAGGGGTCCCAGAATGTGAGAGGGCACTCTGCAAATTCTGCTGCTGCCAAGTCACTGCAGTTTGGCAGCTCCTGCTTTGAGGATCTGCCCCCTGGTGGTCAATGTGTGTCAGAGGGTTGGACAGTCGCTTAGCCTTTATATATATATGCTACTATGTACATTAAAAAAAAACACCTATGTAAACAAACAATGTTTTTTTACAGTTCTGTTTTCATTTAAACATTTTTAGTGTTTAAGATTATACAAGTCCCATATAGAGAAAACAAAACAGGAACACTTTCATAAATTAAAAAAAAAATCATTAACATATCTAAAAATAAAGAATGAATAGAACTTAGCAGTGTTTTAAGTTAAAAAATATTTAATATTACCAGATAAAAACATTGATGGTGATAGCTTTATATAGCTCATTCCATACATATAATGTAAACGGGCAAAACATTAGTAGGAAGAAATTGAGTAGATGGGTTTGTAAAACACCTGTTGACCTCACAAAAGCAATTAATAAGAGATGACAAATATACAATTCAAATTATTACAAAACTTTTAGATACAATGGGATCAAATATCTCTGATGCATCTTGCTAAGGAAAATAAATCATGTACCTTTTAATCCATTAGAAGTTCAAAATCAACACTGATATTGTATAATTATCAGTACTTTCTAGTGACCTATAAATTTGCTATAAATAGCTTTATTTTTGGCTAGTCAATCATTCCTATTATAATTGGATTTTATTTGAAGTGAGGACTAAAGAGACAATCGTTTTTTAAGCCCTGGATAACACAGTGATAAATTAATAATGGGTGCTAAGCTTGACATTTCTGTTTAAAAGATGGCATATATTTAAGTGGATTAAATATATTTCATCAGGAGTTGGGTACATTTTTAAGTCCCAAATGCAATTATGAAGTTTGTGAGAGAGCGTGCACATGCCTCGACTCACTTGCCTTGCTTTTAAAAATGGAACACATTTGGCATTAAAGGGAACAAATGAAGACAAGCAAAACTATGGGAGCTAAGCTGCTCCATACTATTTTTTAGTTCTTGACTGAACTGAAACAAACAGCCTAACTACATAGCACTTCTGTGATGTATGAAAATAGAATCTAGAGCTAAGATGAGACTGTTCACCAATGAGCCAATCTCCCACTCTGCCATATAGTTACAAGTGCGAAATTCATTTAAGAAAAATTCATATTTTTACCAAATGCTTAGTATTTTTCAAGTTTTCTTGCTAGATATATTCATGATTATGTGGACAGCTAAAATGTGGTCTTTGAATTAAGTAAGGAACTCTGATTTTATAGGGATCTTTCTTTACTTGAAAGTTCCTTAAAAAAACACAAAACAACAACAACAACAATAGCAAAACATACACACACACACACACAGAAAACAAAACCCACCAAACTCAAACTTTGTAACCAACTCTTGGAGCAAAGTATTGGTGGCCATATTTTTGAGTCTCCAATAAATCTTGAAGTCCTCTCATTTTTCATGTTTCAAGGGTTTCTTCATTTGCTCCACAAGTATCAACAACACAAATCAAACAACTTGTTACTGGAAAAGCTCGAACTTTGGAGTTGGCAAACCATTTATCTGTTTCAGTATTATATTCAAGGATGTGTCCTAATCGACCCACACCTTGAAAACCAGCCAAGACATAAACTATAGAGCCAACTGCTGCACACTTCACTGTTACACCTTTCCATGGCATCGGTGAGACCATCTTCCACTCATTTAATTTAATATCGTAATATTCCACATTGTCCAGACCACCTTCAAAAGAATGAATAAAATAACATGAGCTACATAAACAATTCTAAGATCTCTTAAAATAATATTTCTTTTCATTTTTCTTACATTTTATTATGATAATGTTCAAGTATGCAGAAAAGGTGAAGAATCTTATAATGCCACATATCTATTCTTACCTTAACACAACAGATATTCAATTTTTGTCATTTTAGAATCATAAATAATTATGCAAAATTAAAATAAAAAGTAAACCAATCTGGATTTTCCTTTAGATTAACTTTAATACTAGTTATTCAAATGTCCCATTTTGTTCTTGTATTATTTATTTATCTTTCAGCAGTTTATGGAAAATAGCAATGAATAGAGATAACATTTAAGTAATGCTTAAAGGTGCTGACTAAGATGAGGTTTGTGGAATAATCTATAGATTCAGTCCAGAGTGTCCATTATTTAAAGCAATTATTTAAGATTTTAGTATATTATTTAAGAAAATAAAGCTCTGGCCAGTATGGCTTAGTTGGCTGGGCATTGTCCAACCAAAAGGGTTGCTAGCCCTATGGTTTGGCTCAGTGGATACTGGGGACTGAAGGGCCTCTGGGTTCGATTCTGATCAAGGGCACATGCCTGGGTTGCAAGCTCCATCCCCAGTAGGGGGTGTGCAGGAGGTAGCCAATCAATGATTTTCATCATGGATGTTTCTATCTTTCTTTCCCTCTCTTCCTCTCTGAAATCAATAAAAATATATATTTTTAAAAAAGATTGCCAGTTCGATTCCCAGTCAGGGCTCATGCCCTGGTTGGGGGCTCAAGGGGTTGAATAAGGAGGCAGCTGCCAATCGATGTGTCACTCTCTCTCCCCCTCTTTCTTCTTCTATCTCTAAAAATCAATTAAAAATCTTAAAAAAAATAAAAAGGTCAAATTGACCCATTTAATAAATTAGTAATACTAGTATTTTCATGCAATATTTAAAAATATTAGGAAAGTTTGCCATTCAGAGCCTGGATACAAGTCCTAAAACTTGTATTTTAAAAGTTTTTAAAGTTTTTTAGAAGTTCAAATATTTGCTATTCTATATATATATATATATATATATATAAAATTGATTCTTTACAGAGAGGAAGTTGAGTGGGATAGAGAGCTAGAAACATGGATGAGAGAGAAACATTAATCAGCTGCCTCCGGCACACTCTCCACCAGGTATGTGCCCGCAACCAAGGTACATGTCCTTGACAGGAATCGAACCTGGGACCCACTGAGCCAAACCGGTTAGGGCTCTATAAACTATAAACCATAAAATTAAGTATAATGATGTATGGAATAAACCCTTATATCTTGATTTTCAGAAATGTTTCCATAATTTAAGATAAGGAAGTATCAAATTATTGGGAAAGTTGAACAGCGAATTAACACCACACACCTAAGCCATTCTGACCACCCACAGCAAATATCTTATCTTTTACAAACACCAGTCCATGATTCTTCCTTGCCTCAATCATTGGACACAGCTCAGTCCATCTGAAAAAATAAAAAAGTTTTTAGTGTACTGTTCACAGACAATATTAATTTATAAGAAAGATTTGTTATCCCAACTAAGTGCTCACTTACCAGTCACATGAGCGTGCACACATACACACACATCTGAAAGACTAGAAAACAAAAGCTTTACAGTGGTTTTGAATAATTTATTTATAGGTGGGAAAATATAGATTTTATTCCCTTCAACTCTGATAGGATATAACATAAAAACATACCTGAGACTATTAACATGTCTGGAAGAAATCCATTTCCTTTGGTACACAATAACTTGTAAAATGATAACAAAAAACAAGGGAAAGGTACTGCCTAAGCAGTCAGTCAGACGTCCCCTGAGGGTTCCTGGACTGTGAGAGGTCACAGACCAGACTGAGGGACCCCCCTCCCCACCTCCAGTGCACAAATTTTGTGCACTGGGACTCTAGTTTAATATATAAGCTCAATATATATTTAAAAAAAATGCTAAGCTGTGTAAGTTTTAAAATACTCCCTACTGAATATAGTCACCTTGTTTTTTAAAAAAATATTGAGATTGCAGAATTACTTTAATGTTTTCTCTGCAAATATGAACAAAAATAATTTATTGATTTACATTGATACTGCCTGAACAAATTTAGAAGCCTGGAGTTTATATGGTATGGGTCCTACTTTAAGAGATTTGTTAGAAATGAAAAAAGAATTAGGCAGCAGGATGAATGAGACTAGTTTTCCAGTCAGTATGCTGCAACACTTTTGAACACAGGGTTAATGGTAGGTAAAGTAGAGACTGATCTAGGAGGGAGGACAGCTAATATACACTCTGGTGGTGTGCGGAAAGAAGGGATAAATAGTTGAACTGGTGGACAATAAGATGAGGATAAGCCAGGGTGCTCTGGCAAGTACAAAGGTACATTTTGAAAGGAGTAATAAATCTGGATGATTTCATGAGATTGCCTAGTCTCAACACTAGGCAAAAGACAAATTTCAAGATATATTGCGCTCAATTCTATTTATAACATTGCTAACCAGATGAGGAAAGTACGAGTAAAAAAAACTATTGTAACTGTATTTTTGCTTCAAAAAGGAATTATTGATTAAGCTTCTTTAAACCCTTTAAAAGTAGGAGGGAAGCCGAAACTGGTTTGGCTCAATGGATAGAGCGTCGGCTTGGGGACTGAAAGGTCCCGGGTTCGATTCCGGTCAAGGGCATGTACCTTGGTTGCGGGCATATCCCCAGTAGGGGGTGTGCAAGAGGCAGCTGATTGATGACTCTCTCACATCGATGTTTCTAACTATCTCCCTTCCTCTCTGTACAAAATCAATAAAATATATTAAAAAAAAAAAAAAGTAGGAAGGAAGACTGGTCATATCTATAGATATAAAAGCCTAAGTGACCAGCTGACTGCTCAACCATCCAACTGATAGCTATGATGTGCACTGACGCTCAATGCAGGAGCGTAAATCACAGGCATGGAAACATGGAACAAACTGATGAATCTCAGAGGGAAGGGGGGAGGGTGGGAAGAGATTAACCAAAGATCTTATATGCACACTAGAGGCCACTCAGCCTGGCCTGTGCCCTCTCGTAATCCGGGACCCCTCGGGGGATTTCGGAGAGCCGGTTTCAGCCCGATCCCTACAGGCCAGGCTGAGGGACACCACTTGTGCATGAATCCGTGCACTGGGCCTCTAGTTTTAATTAAATTGTTACTCTTAATTAAAAAAAAAAAAAAAAAAAAAAGCAGCAACTGGAGTGGAAGACTTCTATGTTTTGTAGTCTGGCAATATTTTCTAAATATAAAACTTGAGCACAAGAGAGTTGATGCAGCTCTTTGGCATAACATTTAAGTTGAACATATTTACCCAATATCTTGTTCTGGGTAAAGGAAGAATAATCCTTTCAAAAAGCAAGTGAGTTTTCTTATTGAAGTTCTTGGGATATTTTTGAGTATCACTGGGATATCATCTGTGTTCATTTCCTCGCTAGTTTCACATCATTGTACTTATCACCACCCTTAATACTAAATAATTAGCACATTTCCGTTGGCTATATTCAATGGTTTCATAAATTACAAGATCAGAAAAATTGACTAATCATTTATTTCTTTAGCATTTAGGTTCTGCCTAAGTTATTTTGTTTTTTTAAAAAGCAGTTACTTCCCAGTTGATTTAAGAATAATTTTATTTAATAAACATAAATACAAACATACTTTCATAAGCACAAACTGACAAAAGGCATTATACCTAGGGTTATAATTCAATACTATTTCCAATTAAACATATAATATTTCTTAAAGGCAAATTTACTACTGATCCTAATTTCTTCCCTCCTCCCCTACATTTCCTGACCTCTAAAAGGAAGTTATTTCATGAGTTTGATCAAGCAGCCAGAGGAAGAGAAAGAGAGGGGCTGCCACAGGGTATAACTGAAGCCATTTCTTAAGGTGCAGTGGAAGGGTCCAGGCTGTAAACATTTAAAGCTGTGTGTACATTCTTAAGAGCTAAATTCTTCCGATGGGCTCTTTTTGACACATTTTTCACTGAGCTAACAAATACAATACTGTGAAACAGAGTTTTAAATCTATACATACGTTTCTGTGGCAGGATCATAAACTTCGCAGGAATTCAACACGCGGCCAGAAACATTGTTCCCTAAGCTTCCACCGCAAACATAGATTAGGCCATTGGCTTCCACCATCCCGTGGCTGCAGCGCTGGGTCAGCATGCTGGGCTTTGTGTGCCAGCTCTCAGTTCTCGTGTCATAACACTCAAATAAATACAGAGCTGAGTTTCCTGGAAAAGAAGAAGGCCCCATCATTCTTTTTTTTTTTAAAAGGATGATTTATAGACAATTGGCAATCTTTTTTTTCTTTTTAAATATATTTTATTGATTTTGTACAGAGAGGAAAGGAGATAGAGAGTTAGAAACATCGATGAGAGAGAGTCATCGATCAGCTGCCTCTTGCACACCTCCTACTGGGGATATGCCCACAACCAAAGTACGTGCCCTTGACCAGAATTGAACCCGGGACCCTTCAGTCCCCAAGCCGATGCTCTATCCACTGAGCCAAACTGGTCTCGGCGGCCCCATCATTCTTGATGGAATGTGTATGTAGGCTTGGAGTGAGCTGACTGTAGAGGGAGTCAGTTACTGGAAGAAAAAATTTAGGTTATAGTCTTTTCTAGACTCAATAACAGCATCACAATGTGGGAATAGTTGGTACAGATCTTGGAAAATATTCACAGAAGGATCTGTGGAGAGACTTACATATTGTAATTACATTTTAGAAAAAAGATTTGGTTTGATTTCAAAAGAAAATTAAATAAGGAATTTTATGGATGTTTTCCAGACCAGTGGTACATGATGGGAATTATCCAAACTTGAAATTTTATATGGAGGGGGAAAGCAATTTATTTACAGGTGGTAAACCCATACCTTAAAATATGAAAACTATCTGATAATATTTTGAGGTTTACCATATAATCTGTATATATATAAAGAACCAGGGTCCATAACATCCAAAATGACCGAAGGTTCAACTGACTGGAAGTCAGTCCTGTAGTGAGGGCTGGGTTGCCGTAGTGACATAGCACTGTCTGCTGCTGCCGCGGGCACTGTGACCCAGCACTGACTGCCAAGAGAGCTGCGAATCGGGCCCAGAGAGAGGCTGGGAGAGAAAAGCAGGGTCTGATCTGTAGCCTCCGAGGCAGCTGTTGATGAGCACTTGCCTCTCTCTTTCTCTCCCGGCCTGGCCAGCAGCCGCACATCCACTGGGGCTGCTGATCAGCCCTGCCTCTCTGATCATACCTGTTGATAGGCCTGAAGATGCTGACTGGCATAGAAACTGACCAATCAGAACCTAATCTGGGTGAACTGTGAAGGCAGAACCTAAGGTGGGGGCTGAGGAAGGATTTTAAGGGCAACAGCTGTTTGGTGTAAGGTGTAAGAAAGCCGTTCAATTTTTTAATGACTGGTTTGGTAGTATAGTGTATATGGCTATCAGTCCAGATAAAGGGATTATGTATTTTTGTCTGCCAAGAGCATCTCCTCATGATGAAAAAGGTTCTTCCTCCCTCCATTTAAGCAATCCTAACCTATATATTCTATCTATACTACTAAAAGTATAATATGCTAATTAGACTGGGTCAACCAGACATCTTCTGGACAAAGCCATGGTGGTAGGGGCCAAGGCAGAGGCCGTTAGGGGCGATCAGGCCGGCAGAGGAGAGCATTTGGGGGCAAGATCAGGCTGGCAGGGGAGGGCAGTTGGGAGCAACCAGATTGGCAGGGGAGAGCAGTTAGGGGCAACCAGGTTGTCAGGGGAGGGCAGTTGGGAGCAACCAGGTTGTTAGGGGAGAGCAGTTAGGGGCAACCAGGTTGTCAGGGGAGGGCAGTTGGGGGCAAGATCAGGTCAGCAGGGGAGGGCAGTTAGGGGTGATCAGACAGGCAGGCAGGCAGGCAGTGGAGTTTGGGGGAATTAGGCAGGCAGACAGAGGCAGTTGGGTGAGATCAGGCAGGCAAGTGGCTAGGAGCCAGCAGTCCCAGATTGCGAGAGGGATGTCCAACTGCTAGTTTAGGCCCAATACCACATCCTCCAAGGGGTCCCCAATTGGAGAGAGTGCAGGCTGAGCTGAAGGAACTACCCTCCAACCCTCTGTGCACCAATTTTGTGCACTTGGGCCACTAGTCCTATATAAGAAAAGCCTAATATGCTAAGCATCTGGTCATCCAGTCTGCGGTTCAACTAATCAAAGTGTAATATGCAATGATATGCTAAGACCACTCAACCGCTCATTATGACGTGCACTGACCACCAGGGAGCAGACACTCCGACTGGTAGGTTAGCTTGTTACTGGGGTCCAGCCGTTTGGGACTGAGCCAGACAGGCCGGACACACCTTGGAGCCCCATCTTCCTCCCCACTGAGTCTGCCAACCTCCTGGATCCCTTCCCAGTCCCGATCATGCACGGGTGGGGTCACTTGGCCTGGCCTGCACTCTCTCGTAATCTGGGACCCTTCAGGATGTCAGAGAGCTGGTTTCGGCCTGATCCCACAGGACCCCACTGGTGCACAAATCCATGCACTGGGCCTCCAGTATTCTGTAACAGCCACTGCACCACCAACAATGCTACTCTTCCTAACTTCTCTCAGTGGTTGTGTGGTAAACCCTGAAATCATGCTGGTCCATTCTTGAGTATATTATCAAAGTACGGTTGTATGTTTCAGTGGTTGAGCATTGACCCAGGAACCAAAAGGTCCTCTCGTTCAATGTCCAGTCAGGGCACATCCATGGGTTGTGGGCTCCATTCCCAGTAGGGGGCATGCAGGAGGCAGCCAATTGATGTTCTTCTCTTATCAATATTTATATCTCTCTATACCTCTCCCTTCCTTTCTCTCTAAAAATTAATAACAACACATTTTTAAAAAACTGGACATTTAAAAAAAAAAAAGGACATAATCCAGGAAGTTGAAACTCTTTTAAAATACTGATTTATAAAGGAATATGGTAAGCCTTCAAGAAATGGGCTCTAAAATATTACATATACATTTAAATTATGTCAAAAAACATCTGGATAAATAACACCAACTGTTTATTTAAATATGAAAGCCAAGATACTTGGCTTTCAAACACATGCCCCAAACAAAAACACTGAGAAAGTCCTTACCGACTTCAGAACCTCCAGATGTATAAATTTTGCCCTCTGCGGCACAGGCAGCGAGGCTGTCTCTAGGTGTTGGGGGGCCCAGTTTGGAATACCAGCTATCCTTCACCACATTATAGCAGTCCATTCGCTTTATGGGGAAAAGCTGAGAGCCACCCAAAATGTACACAACATTGTCCCAAAACACGCATGCTGCGTCTCTTCGTTTTTCAAAGGGGCAGCGGATGTCCGTCCAGCTATAATCCTGTAACAGGAAAGTACAGGAAGCTTTCAGTAACAGAAAAGTATAATCGAAAAGGATAAAGCAAAGACAGTTGAGAAAATACAAAACATAAGAATATGTTAATTTACTAGAATACATATAAAAATGTCTGGCTTGAGACTATTATCCAATCATGTGATCCCCTAACACCCCTCCCCCCCCCCCCCCCCCCCAGAATGTTGGCAGAGGGCAAGAAGACAGTGGCTGCTTTGGGTTTTTCTGGCTCTAAAATAAATGTCAATGTATCTGGATGTATCATTATCACCCAATCTTTCTGTTACTGAGAGTAATAAAACAGGAAAATTCTAAAATAAGCAAAGTAGTTCATTATTTAAAAAAACAACTTTTCTTCAAATGTGAATATCCTCATCCTATCCCTGCTAGATGTATAGAGTGTTATAAAGAATCAATGGAAGACATTTCTGCTTGTGCAGAGTTAGCTAGCAGTTCAGCTGGGGAGCTTTTATTCAGTTCTGGGCATGGACATCAAGAATCTCTTCAGAAATCATACGCATATTTAAAATGAAGGAATAAGGGCTTCAATACTATAAGTTAAAATGGCCATAAACATTTGACTAGAATCAGTTTCCTTCCCCTAGAACTACCTCCCCGTCAGATCTCAACGCTTAAAAAATTCTTAGAGAAACAAGATTATATACAGAATGTATGTTATAGCATATTTAATTAACTAAATTAAACCATAAGATCAGACACAGAAACCATTTGTCATCACATAAACTTGTCAAAAAATATATTAATTGTCAAAAATGGAGCTGAAACCGGTTTGGCTCAGTGGATAGAGCGTTGGTCTGCGGTTCCATTCCAGTCAAGGGCACATACATTGGTTGTGAGCACATCCCCAGTGGGGGGGGGGAGGAGTGCAGGAGGCAGCTGGTTGATGATTCTCTCTCATCGACGTTTCTGGCTCTCTAACCCTCTCCCTTCCTCTCTGTAAAAAGTCAATAAAGTATTTAAAAAAAAAAAAAAAAGAATCAATGGTTGCCCTGGCCAGAGGGCTCATACGCTGGTATGATTGGTAGAGCTTCCTATACACTGAAGGGTGATGGGTTCGATCCCCAATTGGGTGTGTACAGAAGGCAACCGACTACTGCAATGTTTTCTTTCTCTCTCTTTTTTTCTCTCTCTCACATCAATGGAAAACATGTCCTCAGGTGAGGATTGAAAAAAAAAAGAATCACTGGTTAATATGAAGTTTAAACTGCCATTATCCTACCACTGTCTAAAGCTAGAAGGTATTTTGGGGACTGCTGTGAGATATTTTCTGTAAACATTGAGTTGAGCTAGTCAGTGTAGTCAGCTAGATGCTTAAAGTCATGATATTTACTATTAAATACTTGAGTATGGTAGTTCTCCATTATCCATGATGGATTTGTTCCAAGAGCTTCAGTGAATGCCTAAACCTGTGGATAGTCATACACTATGTTTTGTCATATGCATACATATGATAAAGTTTAATCGATAAATTAGGCACAGTAAGGGATTAACAATAACTAACAATAAAATAGTATAATCTCTCTCTATAAAATCCTAATATGCAAATAGACCAAACAGCAGGACAACCGAACCAATTGCTATGACGTGCACTGACCATCAGGGGGCGCGCATGGAACATGGTGAGCATTGGCCTGGTGGGATGGTTGAATAGGTGAGATGAGGGTGGGGGTTGGAGGTGGGGGAGACTTAGACCAAGGCGGAGTGCCGGTTGCTGTCATCAGGGTGAGCCTCTGGTGGTTACTGAAAATTCTTTGCTCCTGTGTGCTGTGGTCCTGCTGGGAGTTTGTACCCGCTGCTGGCACCAGCCCAGCTCACACTCGCTGCAGGTGCCGGAGCGGCTGCTTGTACTTCCTGCTGACATCCAACCCCGATTGCTTAGTGTGGTCAGTGGGTGCAAGCAGTGGCTGCAGGCCCTGATTGCCCCTGAGGGCTTCTCCACCTCCCTCTGCTCCTGAGGGGTGATGGGGGCAGAAGCCACTGCTCGCACCCGCTGATGTTCACACCTGCTGTTGGCGCTGGCCCCAATCGCTCCACACCGTCAGTGGGTGCGAGTGGGGATGGCACTGTCTGCACATGGGAGTGGCGGCAGTGGGAGCAGGGCTGCTGGAAGATAGGGGACCAGGGGCCGTGGTGGGAGGGGCCTGGCAGGGGCACAGAGGATGGGCCAAGACTCGCCCCTATGACAACCGCAGCCTTGTAGCCCACAATTTCTTTCAAGGTGCATGAATTTGTGCACTGGGAGGCCTGGTGTATGAGATTCGTGCACTCGGGAGGGGGTGTGTGTCCCCCTCAGCTAGGCCTGTGTCCTCTTGCAGTCCATAGTCCGGGAAATCTCAGTTGGATATCCTTAGCACTGCTGAGGCAGGAGAAGCTCCCACCACCACTGCTGCACTCGCCAGCCGTGAGCCCAGCTCAGGGCTTCTGGCTGAGCGGTGCTCCCCCTATGGGAGCACACTGACCATCCAGGGGCAACTCCTGTGTTGAACGTCTGCCCCCTGGTGGTCAGTGCTCATCATAGCGACTAGTTGTTCCCCCGTCCAGTCTATTTGCATATTAGCCTTTTATTATATAGGATGAAAAAATCTAACTGAATGTGGAATCTTCTCAAAATATCTTAAAAAAAAAATTTATCCTCACCCAAGGATATTTTTCTCATTGATTTTTAGGTAGAGTGGGGCTGGGAATTGAACCTGCAACCTACAACTGATGTATGTGCTCTTGACCAGAATTGAATCTAGGACCCTTCAGTCTGAAGGCCAATGTGGTTAACCTTTATGTGTTTAGTTCATGTGTATGACACAGGACAAGGCATATGCTTCTATTTACTTGCAATTTGGGCTATAATTTCTCCAGAAATCTTCAAGTTTTTAAATCTTCCAACTCTCCAAATACTGTCATTGGTCATTGTACATGTTAGACAATAAGCTTGATAAATACTAACTATCCTATATAATAAAAGGCTAATATGCAAATTGCCTGAATGGCGGAATGACTGGTCACTATGATGCACACTGACCACCAGGAGTCAGATGCTAAATGCAGGAGCTGCCCTGGCAGTCAGTGTGCGCTCTCACAGGGGGCGTGCCACTTAGCTAGAAGCTGGGCTCACGGCTGTGGAGCGCAGTGGTGGTGGTGAGAGCCTCTCCCGCCTCTGTGGCAGTGCGAAGGATGTCCAACTGCCAGCTTAGGCCGGGAAGCGGGCCTAATTATAATTATACACTCGCAGACATTCCCCTGTATAAAGTTCTGTCTTCCCAGACCTAGTTAGCTTTTCTTGCTTCTGCTGTAATAATACACCACAATGTAGACTTTTTTGAGTTCAAGTCTCCTTTTCTTTCTGAAGCTTTTCTGTTAGTTATCCTTTCTCTGAATCCGCACCACACTGACGTAGCACATTGTGTGCTCCCGGCTGTGGTGCAATGCTACAGAATAGTGAGACGCTTTTTGAGGTGGGGAGCTGTCATGTTTTCTCTAAATGCCTCAAGGCAAAAACATCAGTCTACCGATTTTCCTGAGAGCAAGACTAACTTTATATAGTCTGTATTCCGAAAACACCCAAATCCTAAAAAATAAAACAAAAACAGAATCACGACAAGATGTAGGTTTTAATAATCAAGATAACCAAAATCCAAAAGGAAAGAAATACCTTTTATTTTTAAGACTTAAGAGCTATATTTCGGATTATTTTGAGAGGAAGCCATGCAAAACTAGGGAAGACAGGGACTTAGAGAAAAGGAGAGCAAAATGAAAAAAAATGGTGAACCACTTGAAGATTTCTTGCAGAAACCTCAAGAAGTTAATCTGAGTTTAAGATGACCAAATTATAAGCACTTTCTCTTAAGCCATTATCTGACATCTTAGTTTCTAAGAGCTGTCCAAAAAAAAAATCACAGAACTATGGCAATAATCTATATCGAAAGCATAGATTATGTCAGATGCCAGAACATTCCTAGAAGTAGTTTCATGAAAAATACATAGGCCCACTTTTGGCTTCATTTATTTTACAAGGTCTCAAAGAATATAGCTCTAAGATACTAATAAACTTGGGCACTGAGCTAGGCTCTACATGAAGCTGTGTGTCTCACATAAGTCAGATAGCCTCTCACGGTGTTAGTTTCCTTATCCGTAAAACCAAGAGACTAGATTATCTCAGGGCCCCTCCCTTTCAGCCCCCAAATCCAATGACGTTGGAGTCCAAATGATTTAGAATGTGTCAATAACAGAGAGCTACTATTAATTTATTCATTATCGAGCACTTCCCTTTTGCAGAAATGATGTTGAAATATCTTGAAAGAACCTTGGGTTGGGAGTGAAATCATCTGGGTTCTTCTTATTCCTGTTGTGTTTCTAGCTAAATGCCTAGGAACATCGAGAAACCTCAAGAGTCTCATCTATAAAATCAGGAAGTTGGCAGGATGGCCGCTGAGGCCCTGTACTGCCTCCACATCTTACCGCTTATAAACACAATGCTGAACCACTAAAACCACAGCTTCTCTGAAAACAGGGACTTCCCCAGGTCTCCGTGTGGTATGTCGCCCAGGGCTCAGCATGTTTTAGGGAATGTTTGTATTGGCTGACAGGCCACATTAGTAGAAAAGTATATCTCATCCAATTGACCTTCTGAAGATCAAAGGTTGTAGCTACGACACATGACTCCTAGTTTAAACCAGTTCCTCACTATATAGCACTGAACATAAATTACACCGACTCCAGTGCCGAGGGACGGGGAGACCTGTGACCAACCAACAAATGATGTCATATATGTAAAATGAGAGGACTGGAATGATTTTCACTAATTATTGATGACTGTCTTTCGATGTTGGGAGCACTTTAGCTGTCTCCTTTACATCTTGGTATATTTGAATTTTTGACAATAAGCATGTGTTATTTTTTTTAAACAGAAAAAAGTAAATATGAGAACCAAATGGTACCAAAAGCATGGTGCAAGGAAAACAACACCTCCTTTC